TCAAAACAGCATGGTACTGGTATCAAAACAGAGATATAGACCAATGGAACAGAACAGAGACATCAGAGGCAACACAACATAACTATAACCAAACAATTTTTGATAAACCTGACAAAAACAAGCAATGGGGAAAGCATTCCCTGTTTAATAAATGGTGTTGGAAAAACTGCCTAGCCATGTGCAGAAAGCAGAAACTGGACCCCTTCTTGACACCTTACACTAAAATTAACTCCAGATGGATTAAAGACTTAAACCTAAGACCTGGCACCATAAAAACCTTAGAAGGAAATCTAGGCAAAACCATCCAGGACATAGGAGTAGGCAATGACTTCATGAACAAAATACCAAAAGCATTGGCAACAAAAGCCAAAATAGACAAATGGAACCTAATCAAACCCCACAGCTTCTGCACGGCAAAAGAAACAATCACTACAGTGAATCAGCAACCAACAGAATGGGAAAAAATTTTTGCAGTTTACCCATCTGACAAAGGGCTGATATCCAGAATTTACAAAGAACTCAAACGGATTTAAAGGAAAAAAACAAACAAGCCCATCTAAAAATGGGCAAAGGATATGAACAGACATTTTACAAAAGAAGACATACATGAGGCCAACAAACATGAAAAAATGCTCATCGTCACTGGTCATTAGAGATGCAAATCAAAACCACATTGAGATACCATCTCACGCCAGTTAGAATGGAGATCATTAAAAAATCTGGAGACAACAGGTGCTGGAGAGGATGTGGAGAAATAGAAACACTTTTACACTGTTGGTGGGAGTGTAATTAGTTCAACCATTGTGGAAGACAGTGTGGCGATTCCTCAAGGCCTTAGAAACAGAAATTCCATTTGACCCAGCAATCCCATTACTGGGTATATACCCAAAGGACTATAAATCGTTCTACTATAAGGACACATGCACACGAATGTTCACTGCAGCACTGTTTACAATAGCAAAGACCTGGAACCAACCCAAATGCCCACTGATGATAGACTGGACTGGGAAAATGTGGCACATATACACCATGGAATATTATGCAGCAATCAAAAATGATGAGTTCATGTCCTTTGTAGGGACATGGATGAATCTGGAGAACATCATTCTCAGCAAACTGACACAAGAACAGATAATGAAATACTGCATATTCTCACTCATAGGCAGGTGATGAAAAATGAGAACACATGGACACAGGGAAGGGAGTACTACACACTGGGGTCTATCAGGGGGAATAGGGGAAGGACAGCGGTAGGAGGGGAGCTGCGGAGGGACAGCCTGGGGAGAAATGCCAAATGTGGGTGAAGGGGAGGAAGGCAGCAAAACACACTGCCATGTGTGTACCTATGTACCTATCCAACTATCTTGCATGTTCTGCACATGTACCCCAAAGCCTAAAATGTAATTTAAAAAAAAAAGTTAAAAAATATTAAAAAAAGAAAGAAAATAATAAAAATCAAAGCAGAAATAAACTGAAATGAAGAAAATACAAAAGATCAACAAAACAAAAAGTTGGTATTTTAAAACATACATAAAATTGGCACACCATTAACCAGACTAAGATAAAAAGAGAAAAGACCCAAATAATAGCTGAAAAAGGAGACATTACAACTGGTACCTCAGAATTCAACAATACATTAAAGAGATGATTCATCATGACCAACTGGGATTTATCCCAGGGATGCAAAAATGGTTCAACATAGGTAAATAAATCAATGTAACACATCATATCAATAGAATGAAGGACAAAACCCATATGATCTTTTTAATTGATGCTGAAAAACTGTTTGCCAATATTCAACATCCTTTCATGATAAAAGCCCTCAAAAAACTAGGTATAGAAGAAACATACCTCAACATACTAGATGCTAATACAATAGACTCACAGCTAGTGTCATACTAAATGGGGAAAAACTGAAAGCTATTCTTCTACAGTCTGGAACACAACAAGAATGCCCACTTTCACCACTGTTATTCAACATAGTACTGAAAGTCCTAGCCAGAGTAATCAGACAAGAGAAAGCAATAAACAGCATCCATATTGGAAAGAATCAAATTATCATTGTTTGCTTATGATATAATCTTATACTTGCAAAAGCCTAAAGACTCCACAAAAATACTATTAGAACTGATGAACAGGCCAGGTGGGGTGGCTCACACCCGTAATCTCAGCACTTTGGGAGGCCAAGGCGGGCGGATCACAAGGTCAGGATACAAGACCATCCTCACTAACACAGTGAAACCCCGTCTTTACTAAAAATATTAAAAATTAGCCAGGTGTGGTGGCATGTGCCTGTAGTTCCAGCTACTTGGGAGGCTGAAGCAGAAGAATCACTTGAACCCGGGAGGCAGAGTTTATAGTGAGCCAAGATCATGCCACTGCACTGCAGCCTGGGTGACAGAGCAAGACAATGTCAAAAAAAAGAAAAAGAACAAATTCAGTAAAGTTGCAGGATACAAAGTCAACACAAGAAAATCAGTAGCATTTCTACATGCCAACAGTAATCTCACTTACAAGACACAAATAAAATTAAAGAAAAATTAAATACCTAAGAATTAACCAAATAAGTGAAAGATCTCTACAATGAAAACTATGAAACATTGATGAAAGAAATTTAAAAAGACATAAAATGGAAAGATATTACATGTTCACGGATTGGAAGAATCAATATTGTTAAAATATCTGTACTCTCGAAAGCCATCTTAGATTCAATGCAACTGTGATCAAAATACCAATGACATTCTACAGAAAAATAGAAAAAAATCCTAAAACTTATATGGAACCACTAAAAAGCTCAGAATAGCCAAGGCTATCGTGAGCCAAATGAATTAAACTGGAAGATCATGTTACTTTCAATTATACTACAGAGCTATAGTAACCAAAACAGCATGATACTGGCATAAAAACAGCAGACACAAAGAACAGACTAGAGAACCCAGAAACAAATTACACACTTAAACTCATTTTCAACAAAGGTGCCATAAACATTCACTGGCAAAAAGACAAGTCTCTTCACAACAAATGGTGCTGGAATAACTGGATATCTGCATGCAGAAGGATAAAACTAGACCTCTGTCTCTCACCATATACAAAAATAAAATCAAAATGGATTAAAGACATAAATCTAAGACCTCGAACTATGAAACTATGACACGAAAACATTGGGGAAACTCTCCAAAACACTGGTCTGGGCAAAAATAATTCTTGAATAATACCCTGAAAGCACTGGCAACCAAAGAAAAAGTAGACAAGTGGATCACATCAAGTTAAAAAGCTTCTGAACAGCAAAAGAAACAAACTAAAACAAAATGAAGAAACAACCCACAGAATGAGAGAAAATACTTGCAAACCATCCATCTGACAAGAGATTAATAACCAGGATATATAAGGAGTTCAAACAACTCTATAGGAAAAAAATCTAATAATCCAATTTAAAAATGTGCAAAAGATCTATATACACATTTCTCAAAAGAAGACGTACAAATGACAAACAGGCATATAAAAGGTGCTAAACATGATCACAGAAATGCAAATCAAAACTACAATGAGAAATCATCTCACCCCTGTTAGAACGGCACTTATCTAAAACACAGACAGTAACAAATGCTGGCAAGGATGTAGAGAAAGGGAACTCTTATGCACTGCTGGTGGGAATGTAAATTAGTACATCCCCTATGGAGAACAGTTTGGAAGTTCCTCAAAAATCAAAAAGTAGAGCAAAAGCCACCACATGATCCAGCAATTCCACTGCTGGATATATAAAGGAAAGAAAGGAAATCAGTATATTAAAGGGGTATCTGCATAGCCATGTTTGTTGCAGTACTGTTCACAACAGCCAAGATTTGGAAGCAACCTAAATGCCCATGAACAGATGAAGAAAATGTGGTACATATACACAATGGAGTACTATTTAGCCATAAAAAAGAATGAGCTCTTGTCATCTACAAAAACATGGATGGAACTGGAGGTCATTATGTTAAGTGAAGTTAGCCAGGCACAGAAAGTCAGACTTCCTATGTTCTCACTTATTTGTGGGAGCTAAAAATTAAAACAATTTAACTCATGGAGATAAAGTGTACAAGGATGGTTACCAGAAGTTGTGAAGGGCAGCGGGGAGTAGTGGAGATAGTTAATGGTGTACAAACAATAGTTAGAAAGAATGAGTAAGGCCGGGCGCAGTGGCTCACAGCTATGATCCCAGTTCTTTGGGAGGCCAAAGTGGGCAAATCACCTGAGATAAGGAGTTTGAGACCAGACTGGCCAACATGGTGAAACTCCATCTCCACTAAAAAGAAAAATACAAAAATTAGCCGGGTGTGGTGCCAGGGAACTGTTATCTCGGCTACTCGAGAGGCTGAGGCCAGAGGATCGCTTGAACTGGGAGGTGGAGGTTACAGTGACCTGAGATGGCACCACTGCACTCCAACCTCGGTGGTGACAGAACAATACTCCATCTCAAAAAACAAAAAAAAGAAAGAATAAGGTCTGGTATTTGACAGCACAACAGGGTGACTACAGTCAATAATAATTATACATTTTAAAATAAGTAAAAGAGTCTAATTGGATTGTAACAAAAAGGTTAAATTCTTGAGGGGATGGACACCCCATTTACCATGTTATTATATACTGCATGTCTATATCAAAGTATTTCATGTACCCCATAAATACATACACCTACTAATGTATTCACAAAAATTAAAAATAAAATAAAAATAAAGGTAATAAATCCTGAAGAAATGCAGTAGAAAAATAATAATCTAGAAATAAGTTTATGGTATAGTAAATAAAAAAAGCAAAATAGGCACATGTGTATAAAACAGTACAGAAAGGTTCACGGAATGTCAGTAAGGCAAGCAAAATGTTGGTAGGGTGAAAAAACTAGGAATGATATTTAAATTTTTTCTTCTTTTACTTACCTATACTGTTGAACTTTATTACAATAAGTCTTTTGTATGAATTAAAAAACAAAGTTTTATTTATTTTTAAAAATAATTGCTTACCTTCAAAAACGGAATGACTTCTTTCATAATTGCTTTAATTTGCCGGTCCAGCTGCTGAGTATCAATTCTAGGACATGGGATGGTAGAAACTTCACTTGTAGGTTGTTGTGAACTATGATTTTCAATAATGGGAGTTTCTAATTTTTAAAAAGAAAATGATACATTAGCATAACAAAGCTTATCATATATATATGCCTTTATGCTGAATTTTAAAGAATATTAAATTCTGATGATATTATGCTAACATAATACATAGAAAAATCTTAATAAGGAAAGTAGTAATAAAACCATTATTAGACATCACATATTTTAAATATTTACACAGAATTATGATTATTACTTCTAATCAATAAAAAATATACCTTCTAAATCTAAGACCTGAAACCACAAAAATTCTAGAAGATACCATTGGAAAAACTCTTCTAGATCCTGGCCGAGGCAAAGACTTCATGACCAAGAACCCAAAAGAAAATGGAACAAAACCAAAGATAGATGGAACTTAAAACTAAAAAAGTTTCTGTTAGCAAAAGAAATAATCATCAGAGTAAACAGACAACCACGGAGTGTGAGAAAATTTTTGTAAACTATGCATCTGACAAAGGACTAATACCCAGAAACTACAAGGACCTCGAACAAATCAGCAAAAAAACAAATAATCCTATCAAAAGTGGGCTAAGGCCAGGCATGGTGGCTCATACCTGTAATCCCAGCACTTTGAGAGGCTGATGTGGGTGGATCACTTGAGACCAGTTCAAGAACAGCCTAGCCAATATGGTGAAATCCCATCTTTACAAAAAATAAAAAAATTAGCCAGGCATGGTGGCACATGCCTATAATCCCAGCTACTTGGGAGGCTGAGGCACGAGAATCACTTGAGTGTGGGAGGCGGAGGATGCAGTGAGCTGAGATGGAGCCACTGCACTCCAGGCTGGGCAACAGAGCAAGATTATGCCTCAAATTGGGGGAAAAAAAAGATGATGTTGTAGGCTAAGGACATAAATAGACAATCCTTAAAAGAAGATACACGAATGGCCAAGAAACATATGAAAAAATGTTCAACATCACTAAGTATCAGGGAAGTGCAAATCAAAGCACAAACCACAATGTGATACCATATTACTCTTAGAATGGGCATAATTTAAAAATCAAAAAATAACAGATATTACTGTGGATGAGGTTAAAAAGGAACACTTTTACACTGCTGGTAGGCATGGAAACTAGTACAACCATTACGGAAAACAGTACAAAGATTCCTTAAACAAGTAAAAGCAGATCACCATTTGATTCAGCAATCCCACTACTGGGTTTCTGCCCAAAAAAGAAGTTGTTATATGAAAAAGACACTTGCACATGCATCTTTATAGCAGCACAATCCTCAGTTGCAAAATACGGAACTAGCCCCAATGCCCATCAATCAACAAGTGGATAAAGAATGTGTGTGTGTGTGTATTTATATACCATAGCATACTACTTAGCCATAAAAAGGAGCAAAATAATGGCATTCACAGCAACCTGGATGGAGTTGGAGACCAGTAATCTAAGTGAAGTAACTCAGGAATGGAAAATCAAACATGGCATGTTCTCACTCTTAAGTGGGAGCTAAGCTATGAGGACGTAAAGGCGTAAGCAGGATACAGTGGACTCTGGGGTTTCAGGAGGAAGGGTGGGAAAAGGGTGAGGGATAAAAGACTACATACTGGGTACAGTGTATATTGCTCAGGTGATGGGTCCACCAAAATCTCAGCAACCACCACTGAAGAACTTACTCATGTAAGCAAACACCACCTGTTCCCCCAAAACCTACTGAAAACAAACAAAAATATATACCTTCTAAATTATTAACTGTAGTACTTGCACTAGCACCATCTTCATCCTCAATAATCCTGCAGGTGCATCTCATATTTGAGTTACTTTCAACCTCAGTCTTCATACGTTCATATTCCCTCATTCTGGCTAATGCTTGATCTAAGTGAATCACGGTGTTACCTGTATTTGGAACAAAAATATTTTTAGAGTATGCAAAAGTGAACTTTTTCATTTATTCCTCAAAATTTCATTAATAAAAAAGTCTAAACAAAAGGAAGGAGAATTAGCTTTAACAACTTCCAGACACTATACTAGTTGGGTATTTCATATACATTATCACAGACACTATACTAGTTGGGTATTTCATATATATTATCACACTTAATTTATTTAATCTTTAAAATAGTCCTGTAAAGTAGATGACAGTACTTTCATTTTCAGAAAACTTAAATAACTTGCTCAAGGTTTCACAGTTTAATGGAGGAACAGGGATTTAAACTTTGGTCTCAAATTCTGAAGCACATATGTATTTCACTACATTATGTTGTTTCATTTAAGTAATAGAGAAAATACATTTTAAAATGTCATGCAAATTCTGATGAGAACAATCCAACCTAACACACACAAATAAGGTAAGATAAAGGCCTCTCAATGAAATGTCTGAATTCTATGTTCTACTTCAGACACAGTAATGGTACAAGGTTGTAAGAAAAAAAAAATCAGCAAATGAAAGAAAATACACAGGAGTCAAAGTATTCCGGCAAATCAGAAATGGAGGGACAACCTAAGGGAAGAGGGTTGGCCACACAGATTTTTCTCTGTAATAAGATGAACTCAGTGCAGACCCAAATAAGCATTTAGAGGGCAGCTAAGGCTCAGAGTCCTCAATATTTAAAATAAGCAAAAGGAAGACTTTGGTGAACGGCAGAAATGTAATGATAGGGCAAGGCTAGGCCCTTTTCTTTAGAGTGAAAAAACATCTTTGAAGTACTCTAAATCTCCTCATCATGTGAACAAACACTAGAGTAACAGCAATTACATTATTTTATCAACTAAGTGCCCAGGATGGCAGAATGATTGAATTCTCAGGTATCTTTTGATTGGCTACAGCCTAGAAAACGTATCAAGTATCTATATATATTTCTTTTCCTTAAATTTCCTTTCCAAGTCCAGGACTAGAGTTTTGCTCCTCTTGGGTTAGGCAACCTTCTAAAGTGCTTTTTATAGCTGACGGGAGGGAAAAAAAAAAAAACCATGTGCTATGCCTTAGAGTTATTTGAGGTTTTCACTACAGATTATTTAACCTAAGAAATCTGACTGCTTACCTCAAATTACAAAGTTAACATTTTTATTGAAAATATGATTAGGCCTGAATTGTTCCCATTAATTAACTAAATGACTTTAAAGGATGACCTTTCATCTAAGGAAAAGGAAATTAACATTTTCTGAACTCATGCAAGTAAGTTCCATTATATTTTCACAAGAACATAGCAAGATAGGTAAGATTCCCATTTCTTTAGCATATGAAGAGTCAAAATGTTAGATCATTTGCCCACAGGGTTAATAGTCAGAAGACTGTTGAATTTTCACTCATAAATTAAGTCCACATTCTTTCAACCACACACACTTCGCCTTCCTAGACATTTGTTTCCTTATCAGTACAAGGAAGACTGGACCATATCAACTTAAAGTCATTTCTAAGATTATAAAAAATCCTGCTTACCTAGATCATCTGTTGCAAATGGCTCAAAATTTGATGATACAGACAGGACACTAGCATTATCAGCATCATTATGCTCACTTATTTTATGTGTTTCTCTTTCAAAGTTCTTCTCAAAAGTTTCCTAAAAGTTACAGTAAAACAAACAAACACAAAAAATCACTAATACTACTTTTAAGAATTTCACATTAAGCATCTAACAGAGATAACTAAATATTTGCATAAAATTGTAAACCTAAAAGAAAGTCCTAAGTTTCCTCATTATTCCATGCAAACAAGATGATAATATAATCAAAGTCATTATGGGTTGAATAGAGTCACAGAGAACACTAATAGAAGTAGTCTTGCAGAATATCTGTGATTATGTAGATAAACATACACAGAGCCAGCTACTGACAAAATTTTAATTTGGCAAAGTTAACATTTTAAATTATTTCTATACTCTCAGGGACATACTCTTATCTCCAAACACTGACAGTGTTTAGTACCTTACTTTACTCTTAATGGTCGTCTCATATCAGAAAAAAAAAATCACATCATTCACATTTTTAAAAAATAAACTTTATTGAAATATAATTTATATAAAGTACACCCATTTTAAATGTATAATTGAGTTTTGACAAATGTATACACTCACATAACCATATTCTCTGAAGATAACGACCATTTCCTTTGGCCCAGGATGTTTCGTCATACCCCTCTACAGTCAATCACCACCACACCCTACTCATGATTTCCATCACTGTAAATCCGTTTTGCTGGTGATAGAACTTCATATAAATGGAATCAGCCAGTATACACTCTTCATTGTCTGGCTACTTTCACTTAGTATGTTTCTAAAATGAATCCAGGTTGTGTGTTTCAGAACCTCCTTTATTTTCAATGGCTGCATAGTATTCCATTGTATGGATATAACACAGTTTGTTTATCCATTTATCTGTTGATGCTTCAGTTTGGGACTACCATGCCTAAAGATGCTATGAACATTAATGTACAAGTGTTTTTGCGACACGTACATTCATTTCTCTTGGATTAATACCTAGAAGAGAAATTGCTGGGTCACATGCCACGTTTACATTTATAAGAAACTGTCAAACTGCTTTCCAAAGTGATTGTACAATTTTACATTCCCATAAGGACTGAGAGAGTTCCAACTGTTCCACATTCTCACCAACACTTCTCAACGTCAATCTTTTCATTGTAGCCATTCTCGATGTGACGTGGTGGTATTTTTTGTGGCTTTAACTTGCATACTAGCCATTCATATATCTTCAAGTGCCTGTTCAAATCTCTTGCCCATTTTTTACTGAGTTGTTTATCTTACTACTGAGCTGTAAGATTTGTTTTTACAGTCTAGATATTAGACATCTGTCAGATATATATACTGGGATTATTTTCCCCTAACAGTATCTTTTGAAAAGCAGAAAACTCCTTATTTGTGAAGTCTAATTTATTAATTTTTTCTTTTATGTTAGTGCTTTGTGTGTCTTAAGAAAACCTGGCCTATATCAAGGTCATAATTTTCTCCCATTTTCTTTTAAAAGTTTAAATAGTTTTGGCTTTTGCAGGACTTCAAGTTATTTCAAATTAATTTGTATACAATGTGATGACGGTAGAGCATCTCACTTATATTTTGATTATGACATTTTACAGTTGTATTCTTTCCCTTAACTATTGATCTTTTTTTAAGTTTTCTATCTTCGGTGATAAAATCAAAGGAAATCTGGGCATTAGGGAACGTATTTCAGAAATAGAGAAACCATTTTTTGCTCCTTCAAGTAAGACTTGAAGACAGATGTGCTTTTACCATTTTATTATTATCATGAGCAGAAGAGACAAAGTGTTTTTTCCTCTTCCTAAACCTCAATGTCTCCATTCCATCCTCTTTGACTTATAATTCTCAGATGCCTTGTTTCACTTTCATTTCTCCCTTCCCTGGGCAAGAGATGTATCTCTTCCATATCTTAAAATACGTTTGTAAAAGCTCCATAAACGGAGTTCAAAGGACCGTGGTCTACTAGCATCTAGAGAATGAGGCTCTAAATCCGTCCAATATAAAAACCATTAACCACATGGCTAATTAAACAAAATTTAAAACTTAGTTCCTCAGCTAGCCCCATGTGGTTAATGGCAACTGTATTAGACAATACAGACATAAAACAATTCCATCACTGCAGGAAGTTCTACTGGACAGTGCTGCCTCTGATCAGTAAGTATGAACACTGGATGTTGTGATGCTGATTAAATGGCATCAGTAAAGGGAAAATGTTGACCTTAATGCTGAATTTAAATTTTGGAAGAAATATCAAAGAATTGATTTAGTTACTTAATTAAAAGTAATATTAAATACAATTACTATCCCAAGTCCTTACTTATCAAGTAGTACAACATCTTTAAATTTCATTTAATTTTAAAACCTTCTCAGGTTAACTTTATCCTAAATCGTAGCTCAACTTCCAAAATGTGCTATCGATGGTGCAGACCAATGTGCTCAAATGTCTTAAAATAAATGGAAGTAATGTTGCCTGTATGAAACGGGGATAAAAGCGAAAGCACTGAAATTAAGGATATAAAATTATTGAAAAATAAATCTAGGAATGGAGACTGTTCATTCTTTCTCAAGTTATTTCAATGCCCAATAAGCCTTAAATATCATTTAACATTGTCTATTTTTTATGTATTGAAGCAGACTGCATTTCATTTCCCATAAAAATACACAATTTTTAATTAGTTGTTAACAATCCAAAAGAGCAAACAATTATACTAATTCACATTTCACATTAAAAAGTGACTTTAAACCATGTAATTTTTAGACACAGATTTATGTTATAGAAGTACTAAAGGAGTCAGAGTCCACTGGGAAAACATTTTAAACAGAAAAGATGAGTTGGGGAAGTACTGTTTTAAACATGAGTAGAAGTTAAAGAGCAAAAATTAAGAAAAACTCAGTAGTTGTTTAAGACAATTACTGTATCTGAAGAGGCAAGCCAATCCTTTGAGAAAACTTGCTTCAGGAAAAACTTAGTATTAACGCTTCAACAAAAGGGAGAAAGCATAACTTCCAACTCTCTACCTATAGCCGTTTGCTAATTTATGAAACTCTTACCTATGGATCTCCAGGTGCTAGAGTTGTGATAAAAAAGAATGTATTTGTTGTATGTGGTCGCAGGGGTATATCCCATGATGACATATAATATTTTACAATAAAATCAAGTTCTGACCTTTAAATAGGTGATTCCCAAACACCTTGCAAGCACATTATCTCTTCAGTATCCTAGCAGTTTTGTCACTGTTATTCAATCAACAATTAGTTAAGTGCTATTTCGAGGACACAGCATACTGAATTTATATCATTCTCCTCAGCACTCTTCTCCACTTCCAGGTCCTTTTTACTCTGTTCAAAATTTCTCCATCAATTAGAATACAGTAAATTACATTTCTTTTTTCCTGGAAGACTCTGTCTATGCCTTTTTATTTTAATCCAAAGACCTGATTTATCCTGTATTTATTCATTCAAGGGCTTTTACTATAATCTGACTGCTGTCTGGTTTACTGAATGTCTTAAATAAATACAAAATACAATTCTAAATGTCTTTTAAGAGTCAGCCCCTCTAAAGGGTAATAATGACATAAATATGGCTATTTTAGCCCTCATAATCTATCATACATACATAATTTTTGGTGCTTGCCACCGTATTTTGATTGCATACTATATCTTGCCCTCAAAATAAAATAACACTTTTTACCCGGCTTTCCAAAAAGCTTAAAAATCAAACATATTAGGTCTACCTACAATTTGACAATAACCTATTTAACTTTAATTTAACGCATACTAAAATTATGTCTACATTTCACTAATCATTATCAGCTTACATCATCAGTAGTAGCAAGGCTCTCACTGGGAGTAAGTTCTGAGTTTGATGCTATCCAAGTACCAGAGTTTACTGACTTTACATTGTCTCCTTTTCCACGGCTCTCAGAAATATGTCTGGATACTATATCCTAAATGAAAAAATAAGATCATTATTTATATAAAACATATGCTTAATCATACATTTATGTTACAAATTTAAAAGTAAAATCAGATGGAAGGACAAATTTAGTATTTCTACCCTCACAAGTTAAGTGTGAGGAAGAAGTAGATAAAACACTGAAAAAGTACTCAAAAAAATACTTTAATGCTACTTAAGCTATACAAAAATTTTAAATAAAATGTCAAGAGAGAACACAGAGAACAAATCAAATTCATGTGGTGTGTGCTTCAGTCTAAGAAAGCAACCAGACATAATCATGAAGAAGGTGCTAATAGGGTAGGAAAAACAATGTTAGGTACCGGATACCTGCAATGCATATAAAGCCCTCTGTCTCAAGTAGTCTGTATTAAGTAGCTGAAGCTCATGGAAGAGTTCAATAAGAAAATGTGGACGAGATTCATTCTGAGAAATTAATGTGGCTACTTCAGAATAAATAGTATCCCGCAAAGCTTCAAACATGGAAAAATCACTTCCAGTTTCTGGAATACATAAAAGACCGTAAAGTTAATATTGAAATATCTTCATGACAACTTTTATTAGCTAGCATCATTACTCTCAGCTTCATATTACTTAAAAATTCTATTTTACACAATTCTATTTCAGGGCTTTTAAAGTAGAAAAGAAGCTTAAAATTACCAAGAAAAAATCTTAAGATATAAAGATATGCATTTTATACTAAAAATAAAATTTTAATGCATGAGTAACATTACCTAGCATTACAAAGAACCATGTTTATTTCTGAGCATATAAAATATACAGAAAATATTAAACATTTTATGGGAAAAATCAGTGAAAATCTTTCGACACTTAGAAATAAACTAAGTGTTAATAATTTTCTTGCTTGCTTTTGCAAACATGAACTTCATTACAGAAAAGGAAGTTTATTATTTTGTTAATGTTAAAAAGAATAAACTGCTGCCAATGACAGCTACTAGATTAAGGCCTATCCATTTTGGTCTACTAATTCTCAAACCTCATATATCACACAGAAAAGTGTTGTGCTGATGAGTAACCGAATTTGTAACCTAATAGGTCACTTTCACTGTAGTGTCTTATTTACATACTCAGTGTATACTGGAGAAGCAAGTGACCCAACTGAAGTGTTCAGTTTCATAGAATCTAGGCATCATTCTATTATTTAGTTACAATTCTCTATATTTACTTGTTCACAACACAAAATTATCACACTCAAAGGTATACAGTCATACCCTTAATTTAGGAACATTAGAAAACCCTTAATTCAGGCAAATTAGGAACTGTTCCTATTTTGAGTTTTCTATGGAGTAAAAAATCTCCAAGTAGTTCTAGCTATCAAATTCTGTAAACTCTAATCAGTAGAACCACAAATGGCTTGTAAAATATTCAAGTCCTGCAAAAATCAGTGCAAAGTGTCTAAGAAAGAAATTTAAAATGTTGAGTATTTTAATATATTGTGCTTTCAATTAAGTATACAAGATCATAAAGATTTAACTCATTTTTGTGAGGGGGAATAAGAAAATGCAAAAAAGAATGTGCTCTAATAGAAAAACTTCCCACTAATTAGCTAATAATTTAATATCTTCAGGTCTCAATTTCTACAAGCATAAAATAACATTACTAGTATTAGATTATTAATGGAAAAATATATGAATTATATAACAATAAATATGCAACTTCCCTATTTTGCCTCAGTTACCAGTATAAAATGAAGTGATATACTAAACTTCTTAGTTTTAAAATATAAACTATTACAAAAATGACACTTATTATAATAAGCAGGAAGCAAAACTATCTCTGAAAGAAATCTCTACTAATGGGAAAAACCCAGATAAAAATTTGATACTCAAATTTTCAACTTATATACTGTCATACAGAATCATCTTTAATGAGAATACTTAGAGACTAAAGTAGTATTTTGGAATCTTTGTAATTTCCATGATCTTTATTTAAATACTATAGTCTTGGCATTTAATAGTTGTTTTGTTTGATGACTTAACTTTTCTAAGATGTTGACTAAAAAGGAAAAAATAAACTATAAAAGTAACTATATTTCTAGTTCTAAGAAATACTAATGCTTTTAAGCATTTAAGAAGCACAAAATAACCTCCAATCAAATATTAAATCATAAAAAGTTTTATTTTTCTTATGAATGTATTAGTTAGGTTACACACACTAATAGAAAATGAAAACAAAAGCAGCCAATTTTACCAAGAATTATATATGAAAGGCTTCAGAATATCATATTTTATGAATATAAATTAGCTTTAACAATAGTCACATTACATGCATACTCTAAGCTAAATCTAAAAAAGAAAAAAATCAGAACAATAAAACTGAGAATTTTAGGACCAATGGGAAAAAAATCAACAGTAAGTGGACACCAAAACTACGCAGATTGTTACCTGGCGCTTCATTGCATGCATTTCTGTTAGACTGCTGTAGTATTCTCCTAGCATGTGCTGTAGGAAAGGGCAGACATAAGGATGAACATAAAATGTGTATGAGTAGTAAAGACAGGGTCTATAATATGAATAAATGAATGAAAAAAAAAAGAAGCAAATTTCTTTAAAATTGTTTGCCTGAACTAAATGTTATCACAACGTATGGCTTATGTTCCACTTAAAAAATAATCTTAAGAAAAAAAAAAATCTCAAAAGGCTTGCTATAAACATATATTAATGCAACTGATGATGACTAGCACAACAAACTTCTATCATTTATTTTTAGAAGCAATTACATCAAGGTGAACCTCCCACAACACACAAGGGAAAAGAAGACTGCATAATTTAATACCAGCAGTCATATATGCTACTCTAATAATCATATATTATGAATAGAGTTTAAAAAAACTATCATGCTTTACATGCTATAAAGAATTTTAGAGTAATGATTAAAACTAAAAATAAATATTTTCAGGGCCAGGCATAGTGCCTCACACCTGTAATCCCAGCACTTTGGGAGGCCAAGGCAGGTGAATCAAGAGGCAGGAGATCAACTATCCTGGCTAACACAGTGAAACCCCATCCCTACTAAAAATACAAAAAATTAGCTGGGTGTGGTAGCATGTGCCTGTAGTCCTAGCTACTCAGGAAGCTGACGCAGGAGAATCGCTTGAACTCGGGAGTCAGAGGTAGCAATGAACCTAGATTGTGCCACTGCACTCCAACCTGGGCAACAGAGCCGGACTCCGTCTCCAAATAAAAAAAAATTTTTTCAGAATGTAAATATGTAAACTTGTGTATATTTATACTATTCAAGTATTTTTAACTCACCAAAATTCAATCATATTTTTCTAAGTAACAGTAGTGAGGCCTGAAATACTATGTCCAATTATTATTTAAGTAATTGATACTCAGTGTATTAAGACTTTCAGTTTAGTGTCCTTCTTCAACTTCTGCCTGTTTATTTTTTTAAGGTATCACTATTTGGTAAAGACATTAAAAGGAGATGAAAATGATAAAATTTCAGTAAAATTCTAGGTTGAGAACAGGATTGATGTTTTTGCAAAAAGGAATATAGACTTAACAGAAGTCCAGGATTCTAAGTTCAGCTTTACCATTTCCTAGCAATATGAGCTTGAGAAATCCATTTCAAAATGCAAACAAATGGGAGGTTTCTTTTCTGATTACAAAATGATAAATGCTTATTAGAAATGAGTTTAAAGATGATAAAAACACTATTAACATTTCGATGCATTTTCTTCCAGGCTTTTTTCATTCAAATTTTTGTTTCTATATAGTTGAAATCATACTGTTGAGACAGTGCTAAATCTTAATGTTTTTTTCCTCCCTTTGGTTTCTTTAGGATGGATTCCTATAAGTACAATTACTGGCTTAAGGGCATGACTTTTGAAGCTTTCCAGAAAAGCTGCACCAGTTTATATTACTGAGCCTTTATGAGTGCTGAAAAAAAAAGTACCCTCTTTGACCATGTTTCCTCTGAAAAACAGAAATAAAACCAACTTTGCATTATGAGGCTCAAATGAGATTTGCTGGAAATTTGAAAATGGATACAAATGATAACTACTATTATTTTAAACAAGGGCCTTGACAACTAAGATAATGAGCTTATATTTACTGCCTCTCTCTCTCCCTCTCTCTCTCTCTCTCTCCATATTTCTTTGAGATATTCTTTACAAATCAGGAAACTACTGGTGCTTATTTAAATTAGAATGGTGGCAAAGACAGATGACTTTCATTCCATAAACAGAGCGCCTACCATGTGTCAGGTATTATGCTGACATTTAACATACAAATACGAGAAAGTATTATCTGCTGCCAAGGGACTCAAAAAGTGATATTTAAACAAGTAAATACTATATTAATGTGATTAAGGCTACAAAATAGGTTTAGATAAGCTACAAGGAAAACAAAAAGGAGGAAGGGAAAACTATCCAGCTTGGATTAGAATGGAGTTTCAGAGTTCTAGAATTAAAATTATTATTATGAGTCCAGCAGAGAAATGAGGCAGTAAGGACCTGAGGTAGAAAAATAGCTACTGAGGTGAGAAAAAGTGTCACACCTATGCAAAAACTTTAGTTCAGTGCCATAGAAAGAATAAATTTCAAGGCAGAAGGTGGTGAGAAATGTCTGGAGAGGCAGGAAGGAACCAAATCCCAGATGGACACGCACAGTCCATGAAGGCATTCAGACTTTATCCTGTAGGCACAGTGAGTCAAAGGATCGAAGCAGAGGATGACATGATTTCATATCTAATGCTTATTCAGATAAGATTTTCAGAATTTGAAATGAGGAGTTCCACAACTGTAACTATCCTTTTGTTTGTTTAGAAAGAATTTTATTAAAATGTGTCCAAAACTATTAAATAGTATAACAAAAAATATTTTCAGTTTATATTTCCCAATATCAAGGAATACACACCATAATCTCCACTATAAAACCATCCACGTGATAGAAATATGTGATACACCAATTTTTTTTTTTTTTTTTTTTTTTGAGACGGAGTTTCGCTCTTGTTACCCAGGCTGGAGTGCAATGGCGTGATCTCGGCTCACCGCAACCTCCGCCTCCTGGGTTCAGGCAATTCTCCTGCCTCAGCCTCTTGAGTAGCTGGGATTACAGGCACGCGCCACCGTGCCCAGCTAATTTTTTGTATCTTTAGTGGAGACGGGGTTTCACCATGTCGACCAGGATGGTCTCGATCTCTTGACCTCGTGATCCACCCGCCTCGGCCTCCCAAAGTGCTGGGATTACAGGCTTGAGCCACCGCGCCCGGCCGATACACCAATTTTAAAACCTGTTTTATTTATCTCTTCAAATCGAAGCTGAAGACCTCCTTATATTAATGCAAACCAAAAAAAGAACATACCTGAAGATATTTCTGTAGACCTATTACATTTTATTATCTTTTCCAGTTGTTCATGATTCTTTCTGCTGAATACTTTTGCTTGAACAGGCTCTTCAGTCTGGGCTGAATGTCTGTTCCTACTTTTGCAAGGTTCACATGTGCTAGACATACTGGCACTTTCATACCCTTGAGTAAAAAAAGTGACAACTGTTATCAGTTGCAACTAACTCAAACTTAAAGGGAAATCAGTTTCCATAGTGAAACAGTACAGGTAACTCAATTTAGAATGCTAGGAAGGTCTAGTATAAATTACACACAAAACGGTAAGTATGTCTTGGAGATCTCTTTACAATACCCTTTGGAAGCATGCGGTAACAGTAATAACTTCTAGCCTTCCTTTGATACCCATCTTAATGAGCATAGTCCAATTCAAACTATATGGTGAACCTGATATGAACTGAAATCTCTACTAGAATTCCAAGTTAGCAATTTTTAATACTAGGAAACATAAGAATCATACCTGATATATACAAATATTCATAATAGAAAGTAGTCAAATATGTTTGCCTTTCTTATTATATCTTTTATGTGACGTGATTTGGTTTAAAAGGTCTTACCAACCCATAGGTTATACATATAACCTATGAAATTTTCCTCCTAAGTTTTAAAAATACGTATTTTGGTATATATGTGATACGAGGTAGGGATTCCACTTTTTTTCTATATGGATAGATGATTATACCTAAGCTATTTCCACTGAATTAAAATATACGCAGTCAATATATTAAATTCCAGTATTTTGGGTTTTATTTTTGGACACTTTATCTGTTCAATTTAGCTATTCCAATGCCATTTTCATTCGTTTAGAAACAGAAGTTATATAGTATGATCACACATCTGCTAAGTCAAGTCCTACCTAGCTTCACTTTTTCTTGACTATTCTTGGGCATCTGTCCTTCCATGTAAGCTTTGAGGTTTTTCTGTTATTGCTGTTTTTCAATTTTAAAAACAATCCCTGGGGACTCAAAATTGAATCAAATTAAAAGTATGTATTAATCTGAGGAGAACTGGTATTTACTAATCTTATGCATTTCCATCTTAAGAATATGGTTATGTTTTTATATTTGTTCAATCTTTTTGATGTTCTTCAAAAATACTTTATAGCTTTTTATAGACCTAGTACTTTCCTTGTTAAATTTATTCCTTACATTTGACCACCTTGCCAACTCAAACACTTTGGGTACTACTACTATAAGAGCATTCCTCTCTACTTCCATGCTACTGGATATTACTACAATAGAGAAAAATATTGACACACTTATTCCATAACCAGCCACTTTAACAGTTTACCTTGTAACTCTAGTGGCTACTTTCCAGTGTCTCTTGGGCTCTTAGTATATAAAAATGCCATTAGACAAAACATTTGTTTCCTTCCTTTTCCAGTATTATAATTCCAATTATTTGACATAATGCTTCCAAAACAATGGTAAATAATGATGGTGGTAGAGAAGGAATTCCTGTTGATACTAATTTAGACAGGAATAGCTCTGGAGTATTTTCAGGTGTTTGTGATTGACACTGGCTAAGAGTCTTTATTACACTTAAATAACTGCCCCTTTTTTTTTCTTTTTTTTGACACTGGGTCTCACTCTGTTGTCCAAACTCAAGTACAGTGACACAATCTTGGCTCACTGCAATCTCCACCTACTGGGCTCAAGAAATTCGCCTGCCTTGCCCTCCCAAAGTGCCAGGATTACAGGCTTAATTGCCTTCTTATACCCATTTTACTTCAAATTTTCTTGAAAATAGCTTCAAATTTTATCTAATCTACTGCTATGACTGTGACTTTTGTCCTTTTGATAGAATAAATTCTGTTGACAGATTTCCTGGTAACAAATCATTACATGTCTGAAATAAACTCTAGTGATAACAGTCTAAAATTCTTTTGATTCACTGGCAGATTCAATTTGCTAACACTTTTACTTTCAAATTTATATTAGTGAGAAACTTGATCTACTGTTTTCTTTATTAAACTCTTCTCTCTCCTCTGTATTTTCCCCTGTATAAAGGCCTCTATTCTGAGTCATAGGTTGTTCTTTAGTTTTCCTCAGATAGGATAAGCTAGTATCTCCTTTTTATTCTGACATGTGGAGGGTCTCTTGGCTGGGTACAAAATTCCTGAGTTGCAGTTCTTTGTCAACTGTGTGAGTATCATCCCACTTTTTTCAACTACTACTCGTGTGTTAAGGAAGATTACCTGGTGTCGGTTTGGTCCTTTTTTTTGCCAGCAAATTGTTCCTTCATGTGGAAGCTTAGAAGATTTTTACTTTTTCCTTGGAATTCAGGGACTTTACCAGACTATGGATAGGTGTTTGTGTTTCCCCCACTTCTCTCCTGGCTAGATAACAGTCAGCTGTTTTGATCTGCAGTCTCAAGTCTCTCTTTATCCCACCTATTATTTAATTATTGCTTATTTATCTGTTTTTTTCCTACTTTAGAACTTCTTGTAAGCCTCTAATCATTTTCTCTTGATTTTATCTGTTAGTACTTTCATTCCATTTAATGAAATAATTCTTCCCCTTGATTTTCTAGGCCAGTAATTTGGAACTTAATAGTACATGTCCTCTTTTTCAAATAATCTAAATATTAAAAATGAAAGTCAATGTTTTCTAGCTCTAAAGATTCTGTTATAATTCAATCTGCTTATGTTCCCTTTTTTGTTCAAGTGTATTTGTTCAATAATTCTATTTTCACTAGGTTTTGCCTGTTCTAGTAGTCTGCTTCTGTTTTCTCTCTGGTAACTAGGTCCCTTTTATATGCACTATTATATTCACTGGCCTAGTCATGACTCTCACCTTCTCTTAAGGCTGGACTCAAATGCTGAATAGTTTTAATGACGGCAAGATAAGAGTGCATGGAAGTTCACTCCTGTGGTTAAGCAACCTTCTCACTAGGAAGTTGCCAGTCCCTCATCAGGACAATGAGAAGAAGCTTCTCTTCTGCTTAGTCTTCTCAGCTGCAAAGACTAATGCTCTCCCACATATGGGGTAAGACTGCCACCTACTTATTCAATAACGCTTCTGCCAACTAGTAGCTTGAAGTAGCAAAAGACTGCTACTCTTGGGGTGAAGGTGAAGGGTCAAGGTCAACAGTAAGAGGAAATGAATGGATCTCTTCCAACATAGCTTTCTCCAAAAATCATGGAGCTCTGACCATGCTCCTGACACTCTAGGAAAGAGCCAGCAGACTTTCCTAAAGCCTTGCTTGCTTGCATCTTCCAGATCACTGTAGCTGCTCTACTAACAACAAATAATTTCCCAAAATGTTATCAATTTATTATCTGTGATATCCTACCTGGAGTCAACCCTCCCTCTCTGTTTCCAAGGCCATCATCTAAGTTAGGACTTTATCATCTCAAACTTAGGTTACAGGTGTTTTCACTGGTCTCTCAGACTAAAGTTTAGCCACTGCCACCCAGCCTACATGAAATTTACTAAAAAAGAGCCCTCTTGATTGTTATTGATTTCAATATAAAACCAGTCCAGCTATAAAGGGTATGAGTGCTCAAAGTAGTATGTAAAATGACATGACTGGTTGCTCATTTAATAACATACAATGATGTTATTGCATGAGTACTGTTGCTCATTTAATAACATACAATGATCTAAAGAAAAAAAATTTGAGTATGTTATTCTAACATGAGCATTTATATAAGTGAAATTAAACATTTAACTGCTGTTACTATACCAGGTGCTAAATAAATCTTAATCAAAATTAAAATACTGGTAATGTGGCATATACAAAATTCTCAATGGGGAGTCCCAATAGGTACTATAAAAAAAGGCATACATACAATCACCCTCTCAAACAGCTGAAACTGGGAAGAGAAGCATGCTATAATTATTAGAAGGCTATGAAAAGAGAAAAAAACTGTGGTGTTACAAATGAGTCCCAAATTAAAAGCATCAAAGGCTGGATTTCCAAAGTTAAGATACTAATGTGTGACTGAATTGTTTCTCTCTTCAGCATCTTGATAGTAATCATTTAGGAAGAGTAGAATTAATGAAGGTTACTAATACTTCTGAGTAACACTGGCTAGGCCAGAAAATGTAACAACAGCAATAATAACAATGACGCTCATTACTGAGGGTAACAGTGGTAAGATCTCCTATGCCACTTCACCACTCTTCCCCTTATTCTCATTGTTTTTCTCAGCATGAGGGGCTGACATGAAGAAACAGGACTTCTACTTAGGCCTCCACTGAAGGAAAACAGTTCAGCCCTGGCACCCTAGAGACCTTGCACATGTCCCAAGAGTGCAGAGAGGTTAAGGTCTAAATCACAGTGGAAGCTGTCTTGGCAGAAGGCCATGGAATCATCCTGGAATATGGACAAGAGAGGCTTGTGAGAAGTTGCTATGTGGATGGACATTTTCCACTCACATCCCTGGGATGATTCCGTCAGGAGAGTCTCCCATCTCCTCTCAGGTTCTAATGAAACATGAGACCCTTCTAAGGTCTCATGTTTCTTCCTCACCCTTCTAAGGTACATCTGAAGTCTAAGAACAAGCTTAGCTGCAGTATAGCATTGATTCTTCAGCAATAGGGTGTCTCACCATTCAAGGAACAATTGTTAGCCAGCCCCTTTTATTTCGGTGTCCCTCTTTTTAAGGATGAGACAAGGGACACAGAGAAATGGCACCTTGGACTACTCTTCATTTCTCTGCCTAAGTAATTAGTAACTCTCTGAATCCAAAAAGTTTATTGGTTGTTTCCCAGACAACTCTGTCAGTTCTTGCCTTGCCTAATGTTTGACAACCATGTCATGTCCATGTTCATTAGTGAGCAACAGGAAAGGGAGGAAGAAATAAAAGATGCAAGGATGGTAAGAACCCAGAAGTCAGCACCTTAACAGTTCTATCCAATTTTCCAAGGAAAGACTGACAAGAATCTAGGTTCCTACTCTCTAATAATATCTGACGAGCATAGTTTAACAAAATTATAGGTTGATAACACAGAAACTCAGGTAGGAAATTACCTTCAACTCATGAGGCCTAAGTCTGATATCAAGTTTAAAAGATATTACATAATTTATAAATTCTTACCTCACATGCAATTTTCACATATAAAGACCTTATAAGGATTAAAACACATTACCGAAACAAAGTTAAATGAGATTTATCAAGCTACTTCTGAAAGATTGCCAACATGCACAAAAAAACACACACATATACAAATCAACCTATTAAGTTTGGGACAGTGTAACTGGCTGTACTATATTTCTGAAGACATCAATATAATTCCCACTAGCTGAAATATTTGTAATATCTGTTACCAATTCCTCTCATCATGCTTGTACCCAACACTACACTTTTCTTATCATTACAACAATCTTGATAGGCTTTCCAAACTTTTCCCCACCCAGCTCTATTTACCACTTCAAAATACAATTAAAAATCAGCCAAGTGTGGTGCTCACACCTGTAATCCCAGCACTTTGGGAGGCTGACATGGGGAGATCACCTGAGGTCAGGAGTTTGAGATCAGCCTCACCAACATGGAGAAACCTCATCCCTACTAAAAATACAAAATTAGCTGGGCATATGCCTAATCCCAGCTACTCAGAAGGCTAAGGCAGGAAAATCACTTGAACCCAGGAGGTGGAGGTTGCAGTGCGCCAAGATCTCATCGTTGCACTCCAGCCTGAGCAACAAGAGCGAAACTCTGTCTCAAAAACAACAAAAGAACAATATAGTAAAAATCCTTTTTTCTAACAAATCTTGATTATTCCCATAGCACAAAAGGAGCAAAAACAACATAAGCCAGTGGTCTAGCTGAGTACTTTTGAGACTTTCATGTGCATATCTTCATATCAAAACACTTCCTTCATATAAAAAATCTTGTTAAAATGCATGCATACTGAAGAAAAATACATACTGATTTAGTAGGCATAAGGTGAGGTCCAAAAGCCTGCATTTTTAATAAGCACCCAGATGATGTAATGCTGCCTGTCCACAGTTCAGATTTTGAATAGCAATGATTTAGCTAGTTTGATTTTACCACATATTACTTTGGCTCTACTATGTATAGTTTGATTCTGCTATCAAGCCTTTTATGTTTGTGTGTGTGCCTTAAAGCAGGGCTCTCACTAACAGGTGGTCTTGAATGCCTGTTGAGTAAATGTGAACGTACATTTCCAGCAGGTATTTTTATCCTTCAATATGAAGGAAGATAGCACGAAGATCAGAAAGCCAATCTTTGCCTTAAAGGGGTTTCAGAAAAATACAAACATACCAATACTTCTACGGTTTAGGTGGACATAGCCAAAAATTAGCTAAGGTTCCTCTAAAATCTGCTACTCGAAGTGCAGTCCACAGACCAATACTGGCAATACCTAATGGTAGTGGAAGGCAGACTCTCATGTCCCTCCTAAGCGAAATGAATCAGAATCTGTACTTCACTGGATTCCTACAAGTTTAAGAAGTATTGCCCTGGCAGATTGAAATTAACTATTTGCATGAGACAATGCTGAAATTTAAAAAGGTTAGCTTTTCTTCATTTATTTATATGACAAAGAGCATCTTCGTGGGTGCAAGGCACTAGGAAATAGAAAGTTCTGAGTTGTCTAAAGGGCCGATCCCAAAATGGCCATTATATACTTAAATATTCTCTGGTAGCACCAAAAGTAATCTTGGGAAAGCATGGTAACTTTCAACAACTTCAAATTACCAATTAATTTACTAAATAAATCAGTTCCTCCTAAACCTTTTAAACCAGAAAATTGCTTTGAGGCTGATAATGTGTATGCTAAGAAAAATGTCACCCCTGTCACGCCTATACAAATTTGCTTTTTAAACCATCAGACAGATCCTTCCCATAGGATTCAAGGTAGGAGCCAAGGACTTCAAGGATGGACAAATTACTGAAATTTTTTAAAATGTGCAAACATTCTCTCCCCCCCGAGACCAAGTTTCGCTCGTTACCCAGGCTGGAGTGCAATGGCGCGATCTCGGCTCACTGCAACCTCCGCCTCCTGGGTTCAGGCAATTCTCCTGCCTCAGCCTCCTGAGTAGCTGGGATTACAGGCACGCGCCACCATGCCCAGCTAATCTTTTGTATTTTTAGTAGAGACGTGGTTTCACCATGTTGACCAGGATGGTCTCGATCTCTTGACCTCGTGATCCACCCACCTCGGCCTCCCAAAGTGCTGGGATTACAGGTTTGAGCCACTGCGCCCGGCCAACATTCTCTTTTATATCTGTGGTTTTCATTAGACTTTTCGAAGGTTTCATTATCCAAAAGTGATTAAGATGAATATTGCCAAAGTTTACAAGTTTATTTTTTACTGCATGATTTCTCAGGGCCTTTACTATACTTGTAAGTGTTGTGAACTTCCAAGAAAGGGAATTAGAAGGGTGCAATGCTATTGCAAACTTTCACTGATTATAAGCCTAGAATACTTTGTTCTTAAACACCACTTTTTTTTTTTTTTGAGACAGTCTCACTGTAACCTAGGCTGGAGTACAGTGGCATGATCTTGGCTCACTGTAACCTCTGCCTCCCAGATTCAAGCGATTCTTCTGTCTCAGCTTCTTGAGTAGCTGGAATTACAGGTGTGTGCCACCATGCCCAGCTATTTTTTATATTTTTAGTAGAGATAGGGTTTCGCCATGTTGGCCAGGCTGGTCTCAAACTCCTGACCGCAGGTGATCCACCCACCTCAGCCTCCCCCGGTACTAGGATCACAGGCATGAGCCACCACGCCTGGCCTTAAGCACAAAATATTATCTCCTTAAACTCAGAACAACCTTTCAAGGCCACAGCCCATCGTTTGCAAACATGAAAAGAATATGCTTCAGCTGTAACACTACAGATTTTAGTTAATAAAACTATTTTTAATCTAGTACACTTCAGTAAAAATTCAAAAATCACAGAAAATCTATTTTTGTAAGAGGTATGCGGCTAACACCATAAAGAAAACTTAAATTTTTTAAAAAAAAACTTTATATACTCAATGGCAAGATTGAGTAAAATGAGTTTAGTTTCAGAAGGACTAAAGCCAGCCTGCATTAAAACTGGTTTTATCTATATGATATTCAAAAACATTAATCCAGAAAATTAAACCCGATTTCAAATATTTTGTAAATATATATATACACATATATATAAAGGTAACTAAAAATGACTGCCAATGAAGTCTAGAATACTACCTGCCCATCTAGCCTTACTGAAACTATATATATGTCAATATGTCAGAGTAATATTACCAACATAATATTACCAACATTAGGCTGAAATTCAACAAATTTCAGTACTTACTTATGTTTTTAACTCTGCTTTTCAACTGAGCACAATTCCTCTTACTTTTTGACTTGGGAGTTTTATCTTTAGATGCCAGGCTGGCCTGTGCAGATGCTTTTCTCGTCTTGAATGTTTTAGTCACTGTTGCTGGATATACTGGATCAGGCATACTGCTAAAGCTTTCCAATGATTCTTCATCAAACTGGCATCTTCTCCCATTTGTATCTGATTGATTTTTGTGGTTACTATTTGTAGCTTTATCTACAGACACTGCAAATCCAGTCTTGACAAATGGTTTCTGTACTTCACCTTCTTGGTCATATAACCATGGTGTCCTACTGCTATCCACCTCCTCTTCAGGCAGTTTTTTATTCCTTACCAATGAAAACAAGTTTTTATAAGTAACAATTACAGATTTCTTTATTTACGAAAACTCCAAATAGACTTAATTTATAGTCTACTCTTGAGTAGATTAAGGTGAATAAAATTGCCAAATAAAAAATTTAAAGGCTATAAAAATGTCTTTACAAAAATACACATTAAATATGCAAATATCACATAAGCTAAGTATTAAACTAGTTTTAATTCTGGACCCATCTCACCAAACCACTTTTACTGGCAAAAGTTCCACATCAAAGATCTAGCATTTGCAATAGAAAACAGTGGGAAACAAAAATCAGGCCAGGTGCTGTGGCTCATGCCAATAACTCTGGCACCGTGGAAGACCGAGGCAGGAAGACTGCTTGAACCCAGGAGTTCAAGACCAGCCTGGGCAACATGGCAAAACCCTATCTCAACAAAAATTTTTTTAAATAAGCCAGGCACAGTGGCACGTGCCTCCAGGCCTAGCTACCCGGGAGACTGAAGCAGGAGAATCCCTTGAGCCCAGGAATGCAAGGAAGCAGCGAGCTATGATCATGCCAACTGGACTCCTGCCTGGGTAACAAAGTGAGACTCTGTCTCTAGAAAAAACAACAAAAAGAAAAATCAAGGGAGGATGGGACACAGAAGAACAAAAGTTGGAAGAACAGCTCACAAAGAGCTATAGGAGAAGGCTTGGGAACATACATGGATTTGTGTTCACCTAAAGCAGTTCAAGTAGAATGAGAATTTGGTGAAAACAATTGGTCATTCAACCAGTAATTTATTTCTCCACTCAAGTCCATAGTTCTATTAGTCTACTGACATTTCCCAAATTTTATCTGCTGAAAACCAGCATCTATTAATAGGTACTTATCAGGCATCTAGGGTGGGGAGAAAACACATAAAACAAAATTAAACAGGTCTGTAAAGTATCTCAGAACTTTTAATTTGCCAATGTGCTTTATAATCTCTTGAGAGTGAGCAAGAAATCCAAAACTTTATTACAAAACTTAGCAGGAATAAGACTGCTCCCAAGAATAGTCTAGGAGACAGTGACCTACAGGATTTAACTCAATACAAGGCTTAGAAACCTGTAACTTACAAGCCAAATTTAGCCTGCTGCCTGTTTCTGTATGGCCTGAGAGCTAAGAATGGCTTTTATATTCTTAGTTGGAAGAAAAAAATTTTTAAAGTTTGTGACAAATGAAAATTATATATGAAAAAAATTTCAGTGACCATAAATAAAGTGTTGCTGGAGAACATGGCCATACTCATGCTGACATACCAGTAGTCTGTGGGTGCTTTTGTGTAAAACTGTCACAGATGAATGACTATGATAAACTCTATGCACCAGCAAGGACTAAAATACTATCTAAACTTTTATAGAAAAAGTTTGCTGACCCCTGAGTAAGACTACAGGATTTTATCTGACTTCTTATCTCTAGTCATTTAATTCCATGAGATTACAATAGTTGAGATTTGGGGAAATGAGGTCTAATCCGAAGTAGGCCAAATATCTAAAATAATATTAGACATTCAGATCCATCCTAAAAATGACACAAATACCTAATTTAAAATCAGAGTAATTTTTTACTATCAATTATATATAAAACATGGAAAATAATGAAGTAGGAAGGCCTATTCACTGAAGCTTTGAATAAATGCTTACTGCTTGTGATGGATCTTCATCCAGCCATCATTTCTGAATGGCACCTGTGCACTATCACTGTGTTAGGCTTCTGACAATAGAATACTTTTATAAAGCAACATGAGATTTAACAGGAAAAAACAGAACTAAAAAAAAGGAGTCAACAAAGTAAGGGATATTAATCATAGGATTTCTACTGATGAATAAAAGTTGTAATTCTCAGAATTATTGGTTAATCAAGTAAAAAAAAAAATCCCAGTTCATGACTTAACAGTGTGAAAATGCTAATATAAGAGCCTGAGACATTCCTAATCACATAGCTAAGAGAACTATAGTGTGAATTATAGATATTTTTAAGGAGTAGGAAAGACAATGAGAGACATACCTGACAGATGAGGCTCAACTGAGCCAATCTTTCACACTGAGTCAAAAATCATGTTTCAGAAGATTATAGCATTAAAAAATAATAATTGTAAGAAACAAAGAAGAAAAATAAATCCTATGATTAATACCATGCATCCTCAAAATTTATGAGGGAAAAGTTGTTTTTATAACCTAATAGCACTCAACATTATATCTGAATAGGTTTTAGGAAATGATTCTAAGCAAGGGCTAGGAATCAACAAAAGGGACCATCATTTCATAACTATCTTCTAACAGTTAATATTAGTTTCTAGTCCTAAATCAGTGAACAGCAAACTGGTTTAACCTTAAAGACAGGTATCAAATCAGAGACAAGAGATCCTATGAGTTATGCCACATCCTTCCAAACGTAACTTTTTGTGTACCAGGGTTACCAGCAAGAATCCAGTATCTCATCTAGTCATATGTCAAAGTTTCATATTTCCAACATTATCAAGCCAAATAATCACAAGCATACTCCCTAGTTGTGTTTTCAAATTACATATAATTAGATATAATCACAAAAGTGAATGTTTAAGCAATAACAGATTATATTTACAATCAGGTACCTTGGTTTTTCTGCTCCAATAGATGAACTGCTTTCAAAGGTTTTGGAAAAGCCATATATTCTGTTTTTCCTGAAGAATTCTGGGCTAAGGGTTGCTGCTGTTCACTAGGCGTAGAGATATTCTGAGAAAAATCTCCGAAATTAGGAGGAAATAAAGGGCTGAAATTCATACCTAATCAGTAAGGTAGTAAGAGAAAAATAAAGAAATGTTTTTAGCCTTAAAATAAATTAAAACAGTTTTAATTAAATGTGCCATTCAAATCCACCAAAACAAAAAATTGCTGATTAAAAAAAAAACAACTAATACTCATTTATCCAATCACTGTTTACAGCTCAGTCTACTATGTTTTAGTCACTGGTCAAAGACAACCAATAATCTCCACTCCCTTAAGAGCTAAAAGTTAGAAATAATAGTATCTGACATTTATTAAATTATTACTGGGTGCCACACTCTACTGCAGGCACTTCACAGGTTATTTGGTTTAATACTTAAAAATGTTATAGGCCGGGTGCGGTGGCTCAAGCCTGTAATCCCAGCACTTTGGGAGGCCGAGGTGGGTGGATCACAAGGTCAGGAGATCGAGACCATCCTGGTCAACATGGTGAAACCCCGTCTCTACTAAAAATACAAAAAATTAGCTGGGCATGGTGGCTCGTGCCTGTAATCCCAGCTACTCAGGAGGCTGAGGCAGGAGAATTGCCTGAACCCAGAAGGCGGAGGTTGCAGTGAGCCAAGATCGCGCCATTGCACTCCAGCCTGGGTAACAAGCGCAAAACTCTGTCTCAAAAAAAAAAAAAAAAAAAAAAAAAAAAAAAGTTATAATAGATATTGTATTCATTTTACCAGTGAGAAAATAGGGTTAGAGACCAAATGTCTAATAAATGAAAAAACTTGTTAGATCTCGGGTCTGTATGGCTTATAAGCTTATGCTGTTTCTACTGTTTTCACTGGGAAAGTCGAATATAATTAAATACCAAATAGTGTTATGTATCAGAGGTATTTACAAGAGGCTACTAACAACGTGCGGAGAAAGAGATTGGGAAGGTTTCACAAAAATTGTACTCTTTATGAAGAATATAAGAGCCTTCACATAGAGTTGGTATGGGCATGAAGTATATTTTAGTAAAAAGGAGGAGCATTTGCAATTTCTTATTACTAACGTTTGCTGCCAATATTAACTGATGCTCAAGAACTAAAAAGCCTGTTAAATTTCTTATGCCACAGTGTCTTGAAAATCCTATTAAGAAAAAACACTGTGGTATATAAATACATATATATTCACAAAGCCCTTTCAACCTTTTTTCTCCTCCTATATTCCTTGCAAACATCTTTAACTCCTCTCCATAATTCACCTCATATAACAAGTCACTTAACTTATTCATTCTATTCGTAATGTTTTCAGTAATTCCTTTTTCTTGACCCCTACTGATAAGGCCTAAGGTCAGGCTACCATTCTTTTCATGATATTACTATGACAGCCTTCGATTCACCAGCTAGATCCTCCACTCCTTTCCTCCAACTTCTCCTGAACACTTTCACCAGTGTAATCTTTCTAAAATATAAATTTCATGTTATCACTTGCTCTAAGTCCTTCAGTGGCCCCATCCTGTCAGCAATATAAAACCTAAGCTTCTCTGCACATCAGAAAACGCCTCCGCCACTCTTCAGCCACATCAATTACTCTTCCCCTAAATACTAGCCACCCTTAAATACCTCTAAATTCCCTGAGTGATGTACTATTTCATTGCTTTATACTAAGTGGGTCTACTGATTAGAAAGGCCTTCCATTTCTAATCTCTCTGGAAACAAATTCTATTCATTTTTAGCTTAAATATCATCTTTTTTTTTGCAGGGGGGACTGATTTGCTGACACTTCCCAGCATTTGCACCCGTTATGGCACCCATGGCACTGTACTATAAGCATTCATTAAAAGCATCCTCACTACACCCTGAATTCCTTAAAAGGATCAGTGCCACTCATCATTGGATCCCAGTAATGTACATCGTGTCTGGTATGTAATGACTGCAGGAAAAAACATCCAAAGAAAAGCCTAAGCTAAATGTGCTCACCCTTCGTCTATCAGTATCTCCCTAAGAAGACATGGTACTCCTCCAGAAAAGCACTGTCTTATTCATCTTTACTCTCCCAGTGTGTACACAGTACCTGGTATACAGGAGCTATTGAATAGGTTAGTTCTCTCTCCTCTTAAAAAATAAATAAATTGAAGCAATCATTCCTAAGTAGTTCACTAAATTTCATTAGCAACCACATTACTAAACTTTGGTTTAGAAAAAAACAATGCAGGCTGGGCACAGAGGCTCATGCCTGTAACCACCACTCTGGGAGCCCAAGGTGGGCGGATCACCTGAGGTCAGGAGTTCAAGAACAGCCTGACCAACATGGTGAAACTGTCTCTAATAAAAAAATACAAAATTAGCCAGGCATGGCAGTGCATGCCTGTCAACTCCAGCAACTTGGGAGGGTGAGAAAGGAGAATCACTTGAACCCGGGAGGCGGAGGTTGTGGTGAGCCAAGATGGTGTCATTGCACTCCAGCCTGGGCTATAAGAATGAAACTCCATCTCAAAAAAAACAAAAACAAAAAAAGAAAAAAGAAACACTGTAGAAAGGATTTTGTAACTTTCTTTGCAAAAATTTCCTACCACATTACAAAAGAAAATGTTAAAACATCTATGCAATAGACAAATTACGTTCTCAAACACTTTGCTTTTATTTATTTTCTCTTTAGGATAAGCTACCTACCTGGTGCAAATGATGAAAAGTTAGCAAATCCAGGTATACTAAAGAGATTTACAGGCTGTGCTGGAAAGCTGAAAGGACAAAATAAACTGGAAGGAGGGTGCGATGCACTACTGCCTCTTTCCTTGCTTCCAGGTTTTTCTGGATGCTGATTTTGTTGGTGCGTAAGTTCATTTAGCATTTGTTTCAACCTACAAAAATTTAAGTAAATAATCTGAAAATCAGTTATATCACCGTATATATAAAGCACATTCAGAAAGAATACATGTAAAAAATTATTCAAAAGCATGCAAACTGCCCTGATACTACAGCAAGTTTTGCTTGCTCTATAGGCTTAATTCAATAACTTTGCCTCTTCAACAAGAACTCAGCTTAGTACTTCTGTCCAACAGTCAGCGTAACTGTAAGAAGCTCACTGTTTCCAGCACTTTGGGAGGCCGAGGTGGATGGATCACAAGGTCAAGAGATCGAGACCATCCTGGTCAACATGGTGAAACCCTGTCTCTACTAAAAATACAAAAAATTAGCTGGGCATGGTGGTGCGTGCCTGTAATCCCAGCTACTCAGGAGGCTGAGGCAGGAGAATTGCCTGAACCCAGGAAACGGAGGTTGCGGTGACCCGAGATCGTGCCATTGCACTCCAGCCTGGGTAACAAGCGAAACTTCGTCTCAAAAAAAAAAAAAAGAAGCTCACTGTTTTGTTTATAGCTTCACTGTGGTACAATTTACACACCATAAAATTCACCAAGTAAATGTAAAATTCAGTTACATAAATTTATAAAAACAGAAATCCAAGGTATTAAAAAAGAACATTAGATAAACCACCACTTATAAAATTCTCAATAGATAGATAATGTCCAAATATGCAATTTGGTTCTTGCTCTTTTCTCCCAGAAGCTAATAGTAAAACCTTTGCTCAGTGTTAGCTCTTCTACAGTCTCAATACTTCTAAGAAACAGATTACCTCTGAACATTATTCTGCTGCCATGTTAGCTGAGTATAGCACTGGTTCAACTGGTGCATTATCAAGTGTACTTGAGGAGATGCAACATTGCTGGGCATAACACTGTAAGGACCCGTGAGAAGAGTTTGTAGCAGACATGACAGAGTCTATTGAAAGAAAGTTTCTGTTAAGTTACTGATGACTTGAGAAAAATCTGTATTGCTTCAAAACTTATAAAAGTAGAAGCAAAATGTATTTCATAGCAAATTTTACCTGCTGGTCTTGCATCAAAGTCTGACAAATATTAACACTAAAATCAAGCTGTTTCTTTAGCTGATTGATTTGTTCTTGCCATTGTTCTTTCTCTTCTACATAAGAGAGCTCTGACACCCAACGAAGGTTTTCTTGCCGTTGCATGCTGATATTCTGTTGCCTTGTCTTGGCTAAAGAACGATAATTTTCATCTGCTGAAAAAGGGCAATTGTTCTTCCACCTAACACAAGATTGAAAGCATCAAGTCATCATACATAACAATTTGGTTTTCAAAATACAGCAATAAACTCTGATACTCTGGCTATGGGCCAATGTTCACTTTTAAATTCAAAGAACGTATAAAGTATTAAAAAATATAGAGGGGGAGAAAGTCCACATCTTTAGTTTTGTACAATTATCCATTTTCATTACTTTCCACTTTTTCATTTAAGTTTTTACACAGGTGTCCATATAATTAAGTATTCTGCAAAATAAAAATATTTATAATGTCACAAGTACTTTTCCATTCTTCATGCTTTAAGTTCAACCACATAGTATTTCATCAAGGGGAGCTACTATAGCTACTTTACCATCGTTTATTTGAAAAAAATTTCACTGTTACTAACAGTGTAATAATAAATATATTTGTGGGCAGGCGCGGTGGCTCACGCCTGTAATCCCAGCACTTTGGGAGGCCGAGGCGGGTGGATCATGAGGTCAAGAGATTGAGACCATCCTGGTCAACATGGTGAAACCCCGTCTCTATTAAAAACACAAAAAATTAGCTGGGCATGGTGGCGCGTGCCTGTAATCCCAGCTACTCGGGAGGCTGAGACAGGAGAACTGCCTGATCCCAGGAGGCGGAGGTTGCAGTGAGCCAAGATCGCACCATTGTGCTCCAGCCTGGGTAACAAGTGCAAAATTCTGTCTCTAAATAAATAAATAAATAAATAAATTTGTTAACAGGCCTTTTTCAATATCTACAATTTGCTATTTTTGCTTAATTCTCAAAAGCAGGAGTGAAGATTGATCCAGTTTAGATGGAGCTACTGCAACAACATTCTTGTAGTATAATAATTATCTATCTGTTCTTTGTCCCTGGTTCCTAACACAGAGTTTCTAAAACCCTTGGGATCTTCCGAGTGATAGTCTTTTGTTATGCATAACAAGCCGCTTTCAGCCAGACCTGGATTTATGCTAACTGGACCAGTCACCAACAGTCAGCAATTCCATGAATTATGCCTAAGCAATGAAATTTCCTAAACAGGGTTAAGGCAGCTTCTGGGTCAATGAACACATCAAAGTGCTGGAGAGGGTGGGGCACACAGAGAAAAGCATGGAAGCTCTGCACACCTCACCAACCTATACCTTGACTTAATGCACCTCTTCCATTTGGCTGTTCAGAATCCTTTGTAAGGCATGGGTAAACACAAGTAAGTGTTTTCCTGTATTTTGTGAGTTGTTCTAGCAAATAAACCTGAAGGGGGATGTCGAAACTCCTAAATTTTGAACCATGTTGGATAGAAGTGTGGGTAACCTGGGGACTAAGCACTTGAAATTGAAGTCTGAAATAAGGGCAGTCTTACCAAACTGAGCCCCTTAACTTGTGGGTCTGCACTAACTCTGAGTAGTTAGTGTAAAAACTGAATTGAACAACAGGACACTCAGTTGACTTGGAGAACTGCAGAAGTGCTTGCTGTCAGTGAAAAAGACCTAAACCTCTTAAATTAAGCATAAAATTAAAATACTGAAACTAACCTATTTTTAGTTTCCTTTCCATTGTAGGAGTTATGATTCACACTGTTAGAAGGATATACAGAAAAGTTATCATTGGAACAGGCATCTTGCTCTTCTTCCTCCTCTTCATCTGTCCGATCAATTCCTTCAGAAAGGTAACCGTCTTCATCTCCTTCATCTAGTGCACACTGGGTAGATCCTCCCCAAGTTGCCATTGTTCTACTTAAGAGACGTAAAACACATGTCATTCTGGAGATAAGCTAAATACTATGTGCCACACATTGTTTCCAACAGAAATATACATGTCTGTATACAAAATTTCACTTAATCACACTCACGATGCTATGGGTAGTACTCTCCCTATTGCTGTTATGTAGAATATGTTTAGTTTGCCTTCCACAAAACAATTCTTCAAATAAATTTAAATAATCATCCTATCCCCTGGAACTATTTTCCAAAACTAACCTACCCTCAACTTTTAATTTTTCCTTGAGTGACAGTTTTTAAGATCAGTGCTATTCAACAGAACTTTCTATAATTATGGTAACAATCTACATCTGTGTTATTCAACACAGTAGATGCTAGGTACACACAGCTACTGAGCACTTAAAATGTAGCCAGAAAGACTAAAAAAATTAATTTTTTATTTCATTTAAGTTTAAATAACCACCTATATCTAGTGGCTGCCATAGTAGAGAACAAAACTCAAGACCAATGGCTCTGAAACAAGATACTCATCAAAACTATCTGAAGAACTCTGTAAAACAACAGATGTGTAGTACCCAGTACAGAATAAAATATTGTAGATACAGTCTGATCAATAAAATGCATATTGAGACTCCAAGGAACAGAAATTCATCTGAGAAGAAACGGAGTAGGGCTTGGTGCAAAATTCCAGAAATGCCATCTGAGGATATGAAAAGGAAAGGTCATAAACAAATCTGGATTTCAGAAGTTTAGATCTGGATAATACTATATAGCTAAGTAATTCACTGATCTTATAGACGACCAACACTTTAGAAATATTCTAAATATGGACATTTTAAACTGAAATCCTAAAAATTAATTTCTTATTATAATAAAATGTTTTTAAGATCCTTAGGAACCTTAAAAACAGGAGATACTCAATTTAAGTATTAAAAGTGCTTCTTTCCAGCCTGACAGAAAAACACTACAAAATATCAAGCATTTTCTTTTTATAAACTTAAATAAGAAAATAAGGCTTATACACATAAGAAAATCTGTATCACCATTTGATCAAGTGCCATAGTAATTTAAGACAAAAGAGAAAGCTGATGCTACAAGAAGTCAGAACAGAAAGGGGCTAGATTCAGTTAAACTGAGTCACAAAGGTGGTAAATTGTAGCCTCACTGAAACAGCAGATTTGTGCTGTGGTGTAGAGGAGAAATGTGGCTAACTAGCCTAAAGGTCAGTCTTTGGCAGTTGACGTTTTTTTAGAAAGGTGATTTATGCAGCTCTCTTACTTATCCGTTCTACTCTGCTGAGGAGTACACAGGTTCTCAGATCCATCACTTCTCAATGACACAGCCACTGGAGATGCAGTTTCAGCCAGACCTTGCCTCCTCTGATGTTCAGCCATCAGAGCTTCAAGCTGCTTTCTTCTCTGTCGCAGCTCTTCCCTCAACATTTCATGTCTTCTCACTTCTGACCAAAACTATTTTTAAAAAAAAATCAGAAGTGAGTAAATATTTGGATTTGCTGTAGCCTTAAAGAGTAACAGGCTAATAATACTGGCACTATCAACAAAGCTTTCTATTTTCATTCTCTCCTTTTCACACTAAGATGTCCACGAAGGTTAAAATGATAATTTAGTTATGAATAAGAAAAAATTAGGCAATCATTAATTCTTAATAGAAACAAGTAGAACCCAAATATATTTCAGAAATTATTTGGGAAAAATTGTATTTTCTACAAAGTACATATCAATAAAATGTCAAAGGATAGTTCTTTCTAACTGAAATGATTACTATTTGCTGCAACTACCCCCTTACATATTTCTGCCAAATATTAAGAACATAAATATTTTGAAAATACACTTTTTAGAAATTTAAAAATTTGACAATTTTCAGTTAAAATTTAAAAATAAAAACGTTTTGTCTTTTTCACATTATAATCTAATAAATTACAGATTATAATCTAGATTTACTAGATTTTTGTGTCTACTAAAAAGGCACAAAACAGACTACCATTTACAAACATGTTTCAAGGATATTCAGTTTCCTTTCTTAAGATGTGCCTTATTGAAGAACAAAAACAAGAAAAGACAAGACTAACTAAGGAATAATAGAGTACAATCTACAATACCTCATTATCTACTATTGAAGAATCTTCAGCCTCAAAAACAGATTTGACTGTACTGGTCTCATGTTCATTTACAGCTGGGGTTGAAGTAACAGCTGGCATATATTTTTTTGTGGGACAATTACCCACACTAGCAGCTGACAGCTAAAAAGGAATTTACAAAAAAAGTTATGAGGAATTAAAGCAATTACATTAATTTCATAAAAGCAGTTATTTATTTCTTCTGTAGGGCTCTAGTGCCATATTTAATGTGTTATTAGCAGACCCCAGTTGCCATCATCATTCAAAGATAACTTGAAATAAGAAAACAAAGATGAAAACACAAGCTAAGGTTGACAAACAGTACCCCTCAGGAACAACAGAAACAATAGGGCTAAAACACAATAGAAAATTTTGAATACTCAACCCAACTTTCCCACATATTTCTCTAGACATTAGTTAGACTGGACATAAGGAGAAAAACATGATAAAGTAGAAAAGGTAAGGGTCTACAAGATAAACACATTTGATGTGTTTTCCTTTCTTTGAAAACACAACCTAACTGAAGATAAAGCTAACCATTAAACTCTGGGAAAGTATCAGAAGGAATTATCCCCTTCCCATATTATTATCTGACTAACGGATATCATCAAAAGTGTTTATTTTCTATTCAATCTCAAGACCCATGTATAGGGTACTAACTAATAAGCAAAAGCATAGACAGTGACTCTTTACATACAACTATTTTCCTTAGATAACTTATGGTGGCTTCAGTGTTTTATTATATAATTTCAGACCAGTAAAAGATGGAAATTTTGGTCCATAATTGCAAAAGTCAAACAAGAATATTTTAATATAATAAATAGTTATGAGATTCTATGGCCAGCCAGCCCAATAAGAAGAAATAAAATCAGAGCAAATTCCTATGCGCTCTCTTTTACACTGTAAATGTACATCCCCAACTCTTCATTAGTTTATCCACTGCATTAATCACCAAATTAATATATATGATTATGTCACCTTAATACTAGAAAAAGAGTACTTTCAGTTGATATCAGTTTCTAAACATCTTTTTTCAGACAAATAGAAATAAATTTCATAATTACCTGTAAGTCAGGGCATGCCGTTTGCAATGCTTGAATTTTCTCCTGAATGTCAATCAGTTTCTTTCTTTCTTCTTGCAACTGTTTTAGCTCTCTCTGTTGCTGCTGTAGTTTAGCCTCATAAAATTTCTCTCTACAATTAGATTGACATTATAGTTATGGACTCCAATAAAATCTGATGAAGCATTAAGCACAACATAACACAATACTTAACTGAGTACCTACTCCATAACAGACACTAAATTTTTATTATATTAAATGAAGACCAAAAGCTTAAGATACCTTGCCTTTTCATTTACTCCAGTATCCTTCTGTGTTTTATTGGCATTTCCTCTAGTGTTATTTGAGTTTTGCTTGGTGTCTTCTTCTGCTGGGTAGAAATCATCCAAATTTGATGTATTGGCAGAGATAACTCCATGAGCTGCATCATCATCCTAAAATAGCATCATTACATTAACACAATCTTGATACTAAAGACTTTATCCAGGACACACCTTAGTAAATAATAGCTAGTCTGTAAAATTTACATAAAAAGATTAAAGCAGTAAAGAAAGCACGTTTGTATGCATGTTTACACGTGTTCAACATACATTTCTTTACATGTTTGTATTTAAATACACACCTTTATAAATGTGTTAATAGTTATGTAGTTAACTATAATTATCTCACTTCAACAACTCTTCTTATAATTGGGAAAATTTGGAAAAGGCCAATTCCAATAATGGTTAAATAGGCTACAGTATATCAATATACAGTGACTCTTTAAACTCTATACATTATTTTCCTTGGATAACTTAATGGTAGCTTCGAAGGTTTTATTATATAATTTCAGGCCAGTAAAAGATGGAAATGCTGCTTAAAATAAAAAATACATATATTTTCTTAAAATATAAAATATAAAAATATACCACTGTTTAAAATATAAATACATAAAAATATGAATACATATCAAAAATACATATAGAAATACAAATTACATGTAAAAAATACAGAGAAAACTGCTCCCTAGAAAATAATTGTTCTAGAGACCAATTAAGTTGTGTCCTTTCAAATTAAAATGTACACAAATTCTGATATATTCTCCTCCATATCTTTCTTAACAAACATAAATGCACAGAAGCTTCTGCAAGTATGTTCTGTAGTGCATTTCATAAATAAAAACAGCTATACAGCTTATAATAAAACTATACTGGCAAATAATCATTCTTATTTATGTATTATGTATGGCTGCTTTTGCACTGTGAAGTTGTAACATAGACTGTATGACCAGAAAGACTAAACTATATAACCAATTCACTCTTAAATAGTGAAAGATTAAAAACAAGTATATATTAACCTGAATGCTATTATACATTAACTAAATTAAGGTCCACTGATACTACTGGAAAACTATACTGCAGCTAAAAATAACTGTATGTGTTGTGTATATATGTGCAGTATTATTTATATTTTATAATTATCGTATCCATGTGTTTCATAATTATTTCTAATTATATAGAACCATATATAGCAACATGAAAAGTTCTGAGACATTGTGGAGTGGGGAAAAAAAAGTTATAAAATAATACTTAGTGTATTATACAGTTTGTAAAAACAAAGAAACATACCACAAAACTTCATGTATTTTTTAAAAAATAAGTGCATAGAGTTGTACATAAATGCACAGAAAAGGTCTAGTGACTTTGGTAAAGAAGAATGGGATTATTAGTAGAGGTGAAGAGGGAGTTTACTAGTAATCATTTGTTTGCCTGTAATCTCAGCACTTTGGGAAGCCAAGGCGGGTGGACTGCCTGAAGCCAGGTGTTCAAGACCAGCCTGGATAACATGGTGAAATCCCATCTGTATCAAAAATAGAAAAATTAGCCAGGGTGTGGTGGTGTATGCTTGTAATCCCAGCTACTCGGGAGGCTGAGGCAGAAAAATCACTTGAACCCGGGAGATGCAGGTTTCAGTGAGCCGAAATCATGTCACTGCACTCCAGCCTGGGTGACAGAGCATGATCCTGTCCCCAGTAAATAAATAAATAAATATGTACCTTTTTTGAACTCAGAGAGCACATTCACCTTTACTTGAGTAATTCCAAGTACATAGCATTTCAAAAGAAAGCTGTTAATAAAACTTCAGTCTTTCAGAAAAACCATTTTATATGATTTATATATATACACACACCTTTATAAATGTGTTAATAGTTATGTAGTTAACTATATTACAGTATATTTATACAATTATAAGCTTATATTTTGTGTTAATAGTTACATAATTATAGTATTTTACATATTTTTACAATTGTAAGAATATACAATTGTATATTTATATAATTACAGTTAATTGTGTAACTGTTAACACAAAAAATGTATAAATTGCTTTTTAAAATTTATGATTAACCTTACTGAATACAATAACATATGGTTTTTCTTTTATATAAAGTGGGTTAAGATCTCAGGCTCTGGTATCAGGAAGTCTGAATGCTGGCTTGGACAGTCATATAAACTTTGACAATTAAGACCTCTTCGATCTATTTAGTATCTACCTCATTGAGGTGCTGCAAGTTCTACATAAAGCCAGAGGTATCAGCAAAACCACAAAACGTGTTCTCTTCTGTTTTTGTAAATAAAAACAGCTATTATTGCTTATAATAAAACTTATTGGCAAATAATCATTCTCATTTATGTATGGCTGCTTTTGCATTGTGAAGTTGTGTCAGAGACTGTATGACCAGAGAGCCTAAACTATATAACCAATTCACTCTTAATTTAAAAAGGTTGCTGACCTGATGTACAGCACGTAAAGTGCTATAAACTTAAACCTCACATACAATAATAAATTGTACTAGGTATAATTTACACCAAAGTAATTGTCATACACAAATTTTATTAAAGACTGTACTATTTGACAAACAGGTTTTTAAAAGACCAAGCAATATTTACCTGTACCATAGCAACAAGATCTTGTAACTGTCTAAGTTTCTGTTTTGCAGCCAAAAGTCTGTTGATCTTCTGTTCAAATTCAGCATCCTCTGGATGCTCATCAACCAGACTGCTCCTGTGACTAGATAATGAAGCTCCACTGACTCCCTCCTCTTCTGCTTCTTCCTCCTCTTCCTCATCATCTTCACCTTGTGCAACATGAATCTCCTGTTCCCCTTCTCTGTTATATCGACAATCTGCTGAAAACACGTATAATTAAAATCAGTAATTTTTTTTTTTTTTGAGACAGAGTTTCAGCTCTTGTTACCCAGGCTGGAGTGCAATGGCGCAATCTCGGCTCACCACAACCTCCGCCTCTGCCTCCTGGGTTCAGGCAATTCGCCCGCCTCAGCCTCCTGAGTAGCTGGGATTACAAGCATGCGCCACCATGCCCAACTAATCTTTTGTATTTTTAGTACAAGCGGGGTTTCACCAAGTTGACCAGGATGGTTTCGATCTCTTGACCTCATGATCCCCCCGCCTGGGTCTCCCAAAGTGCTGGGATTACAGGTGTGAGCCACCACGCCCGGCCCAAAATCGGTAATTTTAAAAATAAACTTAAGAGCACACAAGAACGAAAACCCACTTTGTAAGAATAACATGGCAAAATTCTCTGTAAATGCAGTCATACCTAAAGGAGGCACATTTAAAGCCCTTATGTTGGCAGCAGATCTGTTGTTAATTTCACAATTAGAATTAACTGCTCTCCCATCTCTATTATTAGAAACACATTGTGCATTACTATTACTATTTACTTCATTCCAGGTGGAAGCTACTTGTGGATTTCTAGAAGAAAGAAAACAGCCTGAAGTTATTTAAGGCACACACAAAAAGGGAAATGAATCAAAATTTTAGAACTGCTAATAAAATACTCCAAATTAAGAACACTGTTGGCTATGCCATTTAAATTCAAATTGAATAATCAACTCCTGCTTTTCTGTGACTTCTGCATATGTGCTATTTGGAAACTTAGAAAGAAAAAAATGACAATTACACCTAAAAATTAAGAGACGGGAAAATGCTAAGTTACATACATCTCATGATTTAATTGAATTCGATCGAACAAACACAAATTTACTGAACTATTGTACTCCATACCTCCCCTCCCTAATCATTTGTCTTCATAGGGCAAAGATGATTAGAATGACCAAAACAGATTTGCAAGAAAAAAGCTTATATAACAGGCAAACAATGAATGCTCTAATGAAGTATTTTTGTTCCCACATTAAAAGTATCACACGTTAGAATATGCTGGAAAAACATCCAAAAAAAAGTTCTTACAGAATGTTAGTAACAGGCTCGGAATTTTCATGCTCAGAATCATATTCTGACTCTTCAGTTTCCTCATCTTTCCTGTTTTCATTCACGGCATCTGTCATCATGTCTGAGGTTTGTTCATAATAGTGAACTAACTCTCTTAGTTCATTTAATCTCTTTCGAACTTCATTTAACTTCCTGATAAACAAAAAGTGTAAGATTTACACCCGTTTTAGCAAAATAATGCAGACATTATTTTCATGTAATAGCAGCTAACACAAACAAAATTTAGACCTACTAAAATATCCACTCAGTGAGCTATCCAGGGGGCATGACTATAAAATAATGAGTTTAAAGCCAAGTACGGCTTACTCGAAATCTCACCACCTTATTTTTTTATGCTGTGTCAGGGACAAAAGCATAAGAAAACCAATTTCAATTTAATTGTTCATTTTAAGCAGGTGTAAATGTTAACAGCAGAAAACCTGATGTCAAAAATATTTCTAGGTTTCTCTAGTATCAAAAGTATGAAGTACTATTCAAATACTACCTCTCGGGCAAATCAGGTATACAGACATTACTGAGCATGTATAGAAGGTTCTTGATTTGTGTGCAGATGAGATCTAAAGCATGTATACTATGTTTACCAAAAATAAATTAAGTCTGCTGAGTTCATACTAAGTGCCAAGAGCAATACCAACATTTTTTAACGAAAACATATTTATGAACAGATATATTATTCCTATTTTGTAGATGAGGAAATAGACTTAGTAAGGCTAAGTTATTTGTACGTGGTGACACAGCTTTGTGAGATAAAACTTCAGGGCTGATTCTACAGGCTGGTCTCTAAATCACCTGAATATAGAAATATTTTAACTGTAGTCTTATTTTTGATCTATGATCTGAAAAACAAGGTAACAGCAGTTCACAGAAATTACCTGTGTTACAACATCTCGTCTTAGACAACTCAATGCAACACACACTCATGCCTCTTTTACCTATCACTTAAGAATGTTTACAGTATTCAATAAATCTCATTTTGCCAGAATTTTCAACACAAAGAAAAAAATTGTCCCTATTTCATTTTAATCTATGAAAACAATGATTGTAAAAAATGTTTTACTGGAGTTTTTCAGTTGGATTAAGATGGCCTTCATTTTCACTCTCATTCTGAGAGACTAGAGAAGCAGCAGGATAAGGAACAGATGATGGGAGGCTATGGGATTCTCCATTGACAACTGGTGCCAAGCCTACAGGAGCAGATGGAGCTGAAGTACTTCTTTGATCCACACTCCTTTGTGGAGAGGCTGAAGAAGGCACAACAAAAAAATTGAAAAAAAATCACCAGTTAAACAAACATTTACAGTTGGCTGAGATGTCGAAAAACAGAAAGTAAAAATCATTTACAATGTCTACAGATTTAAATTTTAGAAACTTGTTTATTAGCATGCTCCACAATTAAACACAAAATGCACACAAGACATGTTTACCTCTTCTTTCCAGATTCATTCTATCATCTTTACATTATAATCACTGGGTTAAAACAGAAAGGAAAGAAAAAAGAAAAGATGGAAATTGACAAGAACGATGATATTCTACCTTGGAAAAATAACTAGAGGAGAACTCCAGTTAGTTTTAACTAATGAGTAAACTTGGTAACTAACTTGATAAACTTGGTTCTAGGTTAAATTAAACAGGGCCACTAAGAATGATGCACAGTACTCAATCTGTAATCTTTATAGGGTAGCCCAAGCTGATTAGGTCTTCATCAGTTTTTCACATCCACAGACCAGAGAGTTAAATCTGGACACCAAGAAGGAACTTTTCTTGCTCCAGGAGACAAAGCAAAAGTGTTAAGGTGACTGTGGTACCTCCCTACCATGAAATACTAAACAGCAATAAAAATCTGCTAATTAGATAATGGCTAACCCTCTATGGTCCCTAAACTAAATTCAATTACTTTCTATTTAACTTCTTTTACTCTCAAATATAAATTATGCTTTCAAGAGCAATTAATGAAGATTAAGAATCTTTGTACTTCTCTACCTCCTACCATTTCAAAGCTGCACTCATTTGCTAGTATCTTCCTCACAGAACTATCACTATTTGGTGCTCACTTTAGTACAATTCCTGCAGGTGGTTTCCAGAAGTCTCCTCATTCTATTCACTGATCATTCTACACCTTTTGCTGCTGCTCTCACACTGTTTCCCGGTAAGGAAAAAATGGCCTTTAAGAGTCATCAGTATACAGAGTGCTACTGTATGCATACAAAACTGACCACAACGACTTAAGCACAACTTTCACCTTTTTTCTTAGTTGTGTTCATCTGTTTGTAAAGGATAAGAACCAGTATTATACTCTAGAGTAGGAAGAGACTAGCAAAAGTCAGGGGAAAGAAAGAAATATGTTTTAGGACAGGAATAGTAAGGTTCTTTTGTGGGTGACAAAGAAAAAGGAGATATGTGGAGAATAAGGACCAGAGAGGGTCCAGAGATAATGGTTTTTGTTGTTGTTTTTAAATCCCTTGTCTTCTCCTTAATTAGACAACAGCTAGAATGTTTAAAGATCAGTTGAAAGTTGCCTCTACTGACTTCAATTTCTAATGCCTGAGCCTCTATTACTATTTGGATAAGAGACAGAGGCTATGTTTGAAAAGGTATTAGGATAGGAACTGAAAACTAGATCTGATTTAGACAAAGAATGTGAAATACCTGTGGAGCCTAAAATCTAGCTTTATAGTTATAGCTACCTGGGATGATTATTTATACACTTTTTAAAAATTAATATGGACAAGGTTTAAAAGTAGAGGTGTGGGGGAGGGAACAAGGTGGCCGAATAGACACAACTCCGGTGCACAACACCCAGAGAGAGAGACGCAGAAATCGAGAGATCTCCTAGCTCCAACCAGGTACCAGGTGCATTTCAACAGGTCTGGTTCACAGTAAGCAAAGCCCAGGCAGAGCAGACCGAGGCGGGGAGGGGTGCTGCTTCACCCAGCAAGTGCATCTGACCAGTCACTCAGAGGCTCCCCCTCCAGCACCCTGGTCCAGATACAGCACTTCCCCCAAGGCCTCAGCAATATACAGAACAGGGGATCTTTGCCAGTCAATCGCCTGGAATTATAAGCACAGAGTTGAATAATAACACAAGACTGTGTCCCGGATTGTCCCACAGATCTAAGCAAACGCATAAGCCCATAAGCCGGCTGGGAGAGCCTGCGGGCTGAACTATTGCCCCCTCCCCATGCCTGGAGAACGAGGGAGCTGAAAGTGGAAAGACAGATGGTGTGCCTGGGTGGGTCCCGACCCTCTCACATAAACCCCAGAGGGCTGAGGCACTAACTCTAGAGAGTTATGCAGCCAGTGCCTCAGTCTGAGCTGAACGCTGCCTGATCCAGCTCCGTGGAGGAAACGCACAACCCACCATTAAAGAGGTGGGACTAGGCTTCATGTTTTAACAAAAAACACAGGAAGCCTACGTAGCAATGGGACAGTGTTTTGACCACCCAGCAGCGCCTCAAAATCATCGGAAGAGGCGGGCCTAACCTCCCAGTGCAAACAAAAAACACAAAGGAAGGCTACCTAGTAACCTCAAAGAGTCCCTGGAAACCGTGTAGCACCTCGACAGGCAGACAAGTGACCTCATCAAGCAGCTCCCTGAGATCAGAGCCAGGTAAATCCATGAAGATGGGGAAAAACCAGTGCAAAAAAGATGAAACCATCAAAGACCAGAATGCCCCTTTTCCTTCAAGGAATCACAACTCCTCATCAACACGGGAACACAACATGACTGAGGAAGAGTGCGATGAACTGACAGAAACAGGCTTCAGAAGGTGGGTAACAACAAACGTTCCTGAGCTAAAGGAACACGGTCTAACCCAATGCAGTGACAAGAAAAACCTTTGAAAAAAGGTTAGATGAAATGATAACTAGAATAACCAGCTTAGAGAAGAATATAAACAACTTGATGGAGTTGAAAAACACAGCACGAGAACTATGTGAAGGAAACACAAGTTTTAATGGCCAAATTGATCAAGCAGAAGAAAGGATGTCAGAGATTGAAGATCAATTCAATGAAATAAAAAGAGAAGGCAAGGCAAGAGAAAAAAAGAGTAAAAACAAATGAAGAAAGCCTCCAAGAAATATGGGATTATGTGAAAAGACCTAATCTATGCTTGATCAGTGTACCTAAATGTGACAGGGAGAATGAATCCAAGCTAGAAAACACGCTCCAGGATATTATCCAGAACTTCTCCTGCCTAGCAAGGCAGTCCAACATTCAAATCCAAGGAATACAGAGAACTCCACAAAAATATCCCTCAAGAAGAATAACCCCAAGACACATAATCATCAGATTCACTAGGGTTGAAATGAAGGAAAAAATGCTAAGGGCAGCAAGAGAGAAAGGTCAGGTCAACCACAAAGGGAAGCCCATGAGACTCACAGTGGATCTCTCGGCAGAAACCCTACAAGCAAGAAGAGAGTGGGGACCAATATTCAACATCCTTAAAGAAAAGAACTTTCAACCCAGAATCTCATACCCAGCCAAACTAAGCTTCATAAGTGAAGGAGAAATAAAATCCTTTACAGACAAGCAATTCCTGAGAGATTTCGTTGCCATTAGACCTGCCTTACAAGAGCTCCTGAACGACACACTAAACATTGAAAGAAACGAGTACCAGCCACTGCGAAAGCACACCAAATGGCAAAGACCAAAAATGCAATGAAGAAACTGAGTCAAATAACGGGTAAGGAAACCAGCCAGTAACAAAATGGCAGGATCAAATTCAAACATAACAATATTAAAATGGAATGTAAACAGCCTAAACACCCCAATCAAAAGACACAGACTGGCAAACTGGCTAAAAAGTCAAGACCCATCGGTGTGCTGTATTCAGGAAACCCACCTCACATACAAAGACACACAGACTCAAAATAAAGGGATGGAAGATTTACCAAGAAAATGGACAACAAAAAAAAGCAGAGTTTTCAATTCTAATCTCTGATAAAACAGACTTCGAACCAACAAAGATCACAAGAGACAAAGAAGGGCATTACATAACGGTAAAAGGATCAATCCAACAACAAGAGCTAACTATCCTAAATATATATGCACCCAACACAGGAGTACCCAGATAAATAAAGCAAGTTCTTAATGACCTAAAAGGAGATTTAGACTCCCACACAATAATAGTGGGAGACTTCAACACTACAATGTCAATATTCAATCAATGAGACAGAAAATTAACAAGGACATCCACAACTTGAATGCAGAGCTGGACCAAGTGGACCTAATAGACATATACAGAACACTCCACCCAAAAATCCACAGAATATACATTCTTCTCAGCACCACATCACTCTTACTCAAAAACTGACCACATAATTGGAAGCACACCACTCCTTAGCAAATGCAGAAGAACAGAAATCATAACAAATAGTCTATCAGACCACAGTGCAATCAGATAGGACTCAGGATTAAAAGACTCACTCAAATCCACATAACTACTTGGAAACCGAACAACTTGCTTCTGAGTGTCGACTGGATAAACAATGAAATGAAGGCAGAAATAAAGATGTTCTTCGAAACCAATCAGGATGAAGACACAACTTACCAGAATCTCTGGGACACCTTTTAAGCAGTGCCGAGAGGGAAATTTATAGCAGTAAATGCCCACGTGAGAAACAAGGAATAATCTAAAATCAACACCCTATCATCAAAATCGAAAGAGCTAGAGGAGCAAGATTTAAAAAACTCAGAAGCCAGCAAAAACAAGAAATAACTAAGATCAGAGGTGAACTGAAAGAGATAGAGACACAAAAAAACCCTTCAAAAAAATCAGTAAATCCAGGAGGTGGTTTTTTGAAAAGATCAACAAAATAGATAGAGCATTAGTCAGATTAATAAAAAAGAAAAGAGAAGAAGACTCAATTAGATGCAATTAAAAACGTTAAAGGGGTACTACCAATGATTCCGCAGAAATACAAACTACCATCAAAGATTACTACAAACATGCCAGGCGCGGTGGCTCAAGCCTGTAATCCCATCACTTTGGGAAGCCGAGGCGGGTGGATCATGAGGTCAAGAGATCGAGACCATCTTGGTCAACATGGTGAAACCCGTCTCTACTAAAAATACGAAAAAAATTAGCTGGGCATGGTGGCGTGTGCCTGTAATCTCAGCTACTCAGGAGGCTGAGGCAGGAGAATTGCTTGAACCCAGGAGGCAGAGGGTGCGGTGAGCCGAGATTGCACCACTGCATTCCAGCCTGGGTAACTAGAGCGAAACTCTGTCTCAAAAAAAAAAAAAGAAAGAAAGATTACTACAAACAGCTCTATGCACTTAAACCAGCAAACCTGGAATAAATGGATAAATTCCTGGACATTAGCACTCTACCAAGACTAAACCAGGAAGAAGTTGAAACCCTAAATAGACGAATAACAAGGGCTGAAATTGAAGCAGTAATAGGCTACCAACCAAAAAAAGTCCAGGTCCAGATGGGTTCACAGCCAAATTCTACCAGACATGCAAAGAGGAGCTGGTTCCATTCCTTCTGAAACTATGCCAAACAATACAAAAAGAGGGAATCCTCCCTAACTCATTCTATGAGACCAACATCATCCTGATACCAAAACCAGGCGGAGACTCAACTAAAAAAGAAAACTTCAGGCAAATATCCATGATGAACATTGATGCAAAAATCTTCAATAAAGTACTGGCAAACCGATTGCAACAGCATATCAAAAAGCTTATCATCACAATCAAGTAGGCGTCATCCCGGGGATGCAAGGCTGGTTCAACATACGCAAGTCTATAAACAGAACCAAAGACAAAAACCACATGATTATCTCAATAGATGCAGAGAAGGCCTTCGACAAAATTCAACAGCCCTTCATGCTAAAAACTCTCAATAAACGAGGTATCAACAGAACGTATCATAAAATAATAAAAGCTATTTATGACAAACCCACAGCCAAAATCATACTGAACGGGCAAAAGCTGGAAGCATTCCCTTTGAAATTTGGCACTAGACAAGGATGCCCTCTCTCACCACACCTATTCAATATAGTATTGGAAGTTCTAGCCAGGGTAATCAGGCAAGAAAAAGAAATAAAGGGTATTCAACTAGGAAAGGAGGAAGTCAAACTGTCTCTATTTGCAGACGACTTGATTATATATCTAGAAGACCCCATCATCTCGGCCCAAAATCTTCTCAAACTGATAAGCAACTTCAGCCAAGTCTCGGCATACAAAATCAATGTGCAGAAATCACAAGCATTCCTATATACCAATAACAGACTTAAAGACAGCCAAATCAAGAACGAACAGCCATTCACAATTACTACAAAGAGAATAAAATACCTAGGAATACAACAAACAAAGGATGTAAAGGACCTTTTCATGGAGAACTACAAACCAGTGCTCAACGAAATAAGAGAGGACACAAACAGATGGAGAAATGTTCCATGCTCAGGGTTAACAAGAATCAGTATCATGAAAATGGCCATACTGCCCAAAGTAATTTATAGATTCAATACTATCCCCATTAAGCTATCAATCACCTTCTTCACAGAAATGGAAAAAAAACACTTTAAACTTCATATGGAACCACAAGAGAGCCTGCATAGCCAAGACAATCCTAGCAAAAAAACAAAGCCAGAGGTATTACACTGCCAGACTTCAAACTATACTACAAGGCAACAGTAATCAAAATAGTATGGTACTGATACCAAAACAGAGACATAGACCAATGGAACAGAACGGAGGCCTTGGAAGCAGCACCACACATCTAAAACCATCTGATCTTGGACAAACCTGACAAAAACAAGCAATGGGGAAAAGACTCCATAAAGTGTTGGGAAAACTGGCTAGCAGTGTTCAGAAAGCAGAAACTGGACCCTTTCCTGTCACCTTACACTAAAATTAACTCCAGATGGATTAAAGATTTAAACATAAAACCTAACACCATAAAAACTATAGAAGAAAACATAGGCAAAACCATCCAGGACATAGGCATGGGCAAGGACTTCATGACTAAAACACCAAAAGCAATGACAACAAAAGCCAAGATAGACAAACGGGATCTAATTAAACTTCAGAGCTTCTGTACAGGAAAGAAACAATCATTAGAGCAAACTGACAACCAAGAGAATGGGAAAAAAATTTTGTAATCTACCCATCTGACAAAGGGCTAATATTCAGAATCCAAAAAGAAATAAAACAGATTTACAAGAAAAAAACAAACTCATTCAAAAGTGGGCAAAGGATATGAACAGATGCTTCTCAAAATAAGACATATATGAGGCCAACAAACATATGAAAAAATGTTCATCATCACTGGTCATTAGAGAAATGCAAATCAAAACTACATCTCATGCCAGTTAGAATTGTGATCATTAAAAAATCTGGAACCAACAGATACTGGAGAGGAGGTGGAGAAATAGGAACACTTTTATACTGTTGGTGGAAATGTAAATTAATTCAACCACTGTGGATGACAGTGTGGTGATTTCTCAAGGATCTAGAAATAGCAATTCCATTTGGCTTGGCAATCCCATTACTGGGTATATACCCAAAGGACTATAAATTTTTCTATTATAAAGGCATACATATGTTCATTGCAGTCCTGTGTACAATAGCAAAGACGTGGAACCAACCCAAATGCCCAACAATGATAGACTGGACAAAGAAAATGGAGCACATACACACCATGGAATACTACACAGCCATAAAAAACGATGAGTTTGTGTCCTTTGCAGGGACTTGGATGAATCTGGAACCATCATTCTCAGCAAACTGACACAAGAACATAAAACCAAACACCACATGTTCTCACTCACAGGTGGGTGTTGAACAATGAGAACATGTGGACTCCGGGAGAGGAGCATCACACACCAGGAGCAGGGTGGGGGGCGGGTAGGGGAGGGATGACATGGGGAGAAATGCCAGATATAGATGAAGGGGAAATAGAGGTAGCAAACCACCTGGTTATGTATGCACCTATGCAACAATCCTGCATGACCTGCACATGTACCCTAGAACCTAAAGTAAAACAAAACAAAATAAAATAAAATAAAATAATGAAGACAAGATAAGGAGTTAGAAGTTGAGTGTTTATTTTTTTAAAAAATCTATGAAAAATTTGTAAACACTCTGTTTCAATAGTTTTGGGTTTTTATATCAAAATCCTAATTGTATTAATTTTTCTTTATGGGAAAATTTTGAGTATTTTTAAAAACATAGTATTATTATATCCAAGTATCAAATACCCTCTTCTCCTACCTTTCCCTTATTAAAATCCTACCAATTTTTGAAGGTCCAACTATTCTTTCCCTTTTCTGAATTATAAAACTTATTAACCATCTGTTTGGCTTTTGTCATGTATTGGCTTGTGACTTAAAAATTTTCACACGCAAGTCTTAAGTCTCTGCAAACAGTTTTGAGGAACTATGTGTGCATTCATCAAATACTAAATTTAACTATTATGCGACAGTATATATACTTTTGTGTCTTACACGTAATACTGCTGAAACAGATTTACTCACATGATGAATTGTTCAGATGCTGATCTCGAAGTGTATGAAGTTCTCCAAGCAATTTGTCCATTTTTTGTTTCTTTTCCTGTAGCACTCTCATTTTGCTAAAAAGTTGGACTTTCTCATCAGGTAAATGTTCTGAAGTTGACGGATTCCTGCTCTGGGAAACCTCCCTAGTTAATGAAAGACTTTCTGCCTGTCTTCTATTGTCTGGAACAGCTGGAGGCTTATTAAAAAAACAAAAAAGAGAAGAAGAATTAAGACTAAGGCAATTAAATACATTCTCATTTTTTAAATGCATAAATATTATTTATAAAGAAAGACAAATATTTGCTAGGTTGTGCTGGTATGTAAGCATATACCCTTACTATATCCAAATTAAATGTGGTTTCCTGATATGCCACTATTTTTTTTTTTTAAGATGGAATCTTGCTCTTGTCACCCAGGCTGGAGTGCAATGATGCGATTTCAGCTCACTGCAACCTCCACCTTCTGGGTTCAAGCAATTCTCCTGCCTCAGCCTCCCGAGTAGCTGGGATTACAGGAACCTGCCACCATGCCCAGCTTATTTTTGTCTTTTTAGTAGAGAGGTGGTTCACTAAGTTGGTCAGGCTGGTCTTGAACTCCTGACCTCAGGTGATCCACCAGCTTGGCCTCCCAAAGTGCTGGGATTACAGGCATGAGCCACCACACCTGGCCGCCATTATCAATATAGGAAGTCATCCCTCAGTATCCCCGAGGGATGGGTTCAAGGATCCCCAGGACACCAAAACAAACGGCAGATAATACCCAAATCTCTTAGATGAAATGGTATACTATTAGCATATAATCTACACATATCCTCCCACATGTTAAATCATCTCTAGATTATGTATACTACCTAAAACAATGTAAACGTTATGTAAATAGTTGTTATATTTTCTCGCAAACGTGAGTTTCTCTAAAGTAGGCCATGGGTCTACCAGAAAAAATTTACTAGGTACTGCTATATAATTCTTCAAAGTGGTTGTGCCATATTCTCTCATTTTCACTTGGTCAGCAGGAAGACAAGAGACACTGCATCTTCAATCACACTCACTTCCAGTGGACAGGCATTAATTCATCCTTTCTTACCGAAGGCCCACATACTGAAAATGTGCTCTTGTATCACTTAAAAAGTGCATCAAATTATAACACTCACTAACTCACAAATTAAGAACAAGAATTTCTTAAAATGGTTAGCAAAATATTCCTTCAAATGAGAATTCCATGGAATTCTCAAAAATTCTACATGGAATCTCGTATCTAGTCGAAGAACACAGATTTAAATCAAAGTCTTAATGGTTGTGACCATTAAGTCTTTTGGAGGAAAAAAAATATGCCATCCAGTAGCATATAAAGGAAAAACTTCACTCATCCCTTCAAAGTAAATTCTCTTCTAACTTAGGGATTCTCAAAGTATAGTCCCCAGAGCACCACCACAGGACTCAAACATGGAGAAGCCCACCCCAAATCCATGAATCATAATTTTGGAGGTTGGGGGAATCCCACCAACCGGAAACCTACACTGCTCAACAATTATACCAGATGATACATATGCTCACTCAAGTTTCAGAACCACTGTTTTAATTAATGTGATTTTTAAACTCGACTACACTGAAACAACTAGGTTACCTGAGAATCTCGAAGCTGATTGTGAAAACGCTGAATTAAATCATTCAATTCTTCATTTAGTTCAGATGTGATACTGACACCAGATACGCTGCCTGCAGTTTCTGCAACTGGAAAGAAATTAATAACTAATAATTAATATAAATACTTTTTAATCTCTGAGAAGCTAAACCATTTTTTAAAATTTAAAACACTTACCTAAGTAACTTGAAACTAGTTAACACTCCTATCTATCTGCCAATAATCATTTTATTAGAAGTTTGCATCTAACCTCAAAATAAAGGGATGGTCACAAAACTCTAGTAAAGTGATCCATCTTTTTCTGTCTCAACTTACAGGAGGAATACTACTGCATCCCAATTAATAACAGTGACTCACAGGAGCAGGTCTTTCTAAGGTCAGCGGGGAGTGAAGGTAAAGTGATAGTGTGAAAAAACACAGCTGATTCTGACAGGTTTCAATCTCTATGTTCTTGAATAGAATCAATGCTCTGGAGAGGCTGCCATACTTTCTTCAAGATTCAAATAGTAAATATGTTAGGCTTTGTGGAAAATACAGTTTTTGTCTCAACCACCCAACTCTGCTGTTACAGGGTAAAAGCAACCGTAGACAATGTCAACAAATGGGCATGGCTGTGTTCCCTAAAACTTTATTTTAGGCACTGAACTAAAGCCAGCTGACCACAGTTTGCTAACTCCTACAGTAAAATGGGTAATTTAACAAAGTGGCTGTTTGTGATACAAGTCCTACTAAAAGACTATGGTTTTTATCTTCTTAAACTAAAAAACATGCCCCCATATTCATAAAGCAGTTTTGTGACAATTTTCATAAGAGTTACTGTTCTACCAACAAATAACCCCATCCGTACCTTCACTTCTAACTCTCCAACTCTAAAAAAAAAAAAAAACATTAGTGGCCAGGTGCAGTGTCTCACGCCTGTAATCCCAGCATTTGGGAGGGTGAGGCAAGCAGATCGCTGGAGAGGAGGGGTTCAAGACCAGCCTGGGCAACACAGACCCCCATCTGGATAAAACTACAAAAATTAGCCTGGCATGGTGCTGCACACCAGCCATTCAGGAGGCTTGAGCCAGAGAGGTGGAGGCTGCAGTGAGCCAAGAGCACACCACTGTATTCCAGCCTGGGTGACAGGGCAAGACCCTGTCTCAAAAAAAAAAAAGGAAAAAAAAAGAAATTGGTTATAAATTGCTTCTTTTTTAAAGGAAAATACTAGCTTTTTCCCCCTGAGAATTTCAAAGCTGTATGGAATCATATGTATCTAGTCAAAACTCTATGCTGAAAAGAAAGTAATTACAGTACTGACAACATATGTAACTTGCTAGTTAAATGGTGAAAGGGACACTCTTTGAAGTAACGTAATTATCCCAAGGTAGTATCTTCTCGTATACCAGACTAAATACTTTAATTTTGGCTTTTCATTAGTACTTCCCTGCAAAATCTCATACACACGAGGGTAAATTTGTTTTAAAATTACTAAGCTAAAATTCTTTTTGAAATAGTACAAAATAAATTCAAACTCATGTGCAGTCTACTCCTATTCTGATGCAGTGTATTTTTAAAAAAGAAATTGTCTGCTTACTTTAAAAAGCTCATATTCAGAAACAGAAATAAGATCCCTGACCTAGAATTCAAGAAATGTGATTCTGCTAAAATTCTATATAAATCTAGGCAAGTCACAAACTCTGTAGAATTTCTTCTCTATAAAAATAAGAATTAAAGCTCTAACCTAGAAATCTCTGATGATCAAAGGAGATTGTGCAAATATAGACAGTAATGTGACTATCAGAGGTTACACTACTTACAAGCTTTTAAATCGGATATTCCAAACTTGAAAAATATTTAAAAGGTTAGTCACACTAGTATTTAGTCATTATGTTAAAATATTTTAATTATCTTTTCCTAAATTATCTATTTCTTAAATATAAATATAAAAGCTAATGGTACTTTACATTTTACAAAGGAAAAATAGAAACAAAAATCTTTGTAATTATTACTATACAGTATGATATACAGCTATGTAATTATTCCAAAAGAGTAAGTTATTTGAAAGTGATAACATTCTTTATGAAAATGAAAACTTAAACTAGGTATAACAGGGATTAAACAGTTGAGCCAGTGGGCTAGATTTGGACAGCAAAATAAACTGATTCACAACAGGGTAGCTTCAGTGAGAACCTAAACTCACCCACAAAACAGTGTGCTCAAAGAAGAGAAATTATTACTAGAAGGGGACGGTGGGGATAGACTACTAGAAAATATAACTTAGTTTTGTTAATAAGTAATCATCTGTTTTTTTCTATTTAATGAGAAACTAAAACTCTTATGTTTCAAAGTGATGATAAACTTACAAAGACTCAATACTAATAAATTCAATACAATTTCATCTAGATCACACATGGCTACGAAGGAGGGAGGAAGAAAATTTCTGAGTCTTACGAAGAATGTACGGACTATAAATATAGTTCTAAGGAGCTAGTATATACAACTGGATACCTAATTAAAATAATACCTACTACTAACTTGAATGCTAAAGATGCTTTATACATTTATTCACTGCCTCATTTAAGATTGTAACTTTCTTGGGAGATAAGCAAAAAATGACAATTCTCATTGAATGAAATAGAAAAATGGGAAATAAATGCATCACGAGCCTTATCAGTCTGATGTACAAAAACAGAACTACAGGCTGTCTCTTTTACCTCTTAAGGGTATTTTCTGATGAAAAGGAGAGCGATCTGGCTGTCTGCACGATATAATTTGATGGCCAGCAGTTGTCCCTGCAATCTTTTCTGCATAACCAGAGAAAAGCACAGGAAAGCATAAGCCTCATATACAGGTTTCTAAACTATACAATAATCAAGATGTGATGATATAATAATCAGCATCCACCCTGCAATACAATTATGTCTGAGTCTTCCTTACAAAAACAATATTCTCAGACTGTGACATACCAGAATCATCCATCACTGCAATAGCTTCCTCTGCTTTATGTTGCAGAGCTAGTAGTGCAGCCTGCCGTCCCTGGAGAGCTCTCAGTTGCTCCTGCTGTTGTAACATTCTTTTTAATAAATCATGTTGTTTCTTCAAATTTTCTATCTCTTCCATAGGCTCCTGCTGAGTATCTCTGGCCTGGAAAATTAGACCAACAATACTTGTGGCTGAGTATTAAAATCCATGTTGCTGTTTCAACTGTCAATAGCAAAGGACATACATCAGTAACAAATTATTAAATATACAACCCTAGATATAGTTTTAGTAGACATGAAGAAAAAACAGTAAGAATAGAATGATGACACAGAGATATAGCCTGCCACTTAAGAGTTAGGCAAGTTCACAGTAGAAAGCTATAAGCAATGGCTTAGCAGAAATAGGAATGAACAAAAGTAAAAGAAAAAGACATACAAAACATACAACAGTAAGGTCAAGAGGGACACACACACACACTCACACCCCGAAGAATCTAGGCCCCTAAAGTAGGAGCACATTATGCTGGATTAATGATCTGAAAGTCTTTTTTAAAAAAGACTTGAAGTAATATTTATAAACAACAACAAAACCTAGAAAGCAGGCAAGCCTACTATTTCTAACAAAGGACTGAAAATTTAAAAACATATTTTTTATTTGATAATCCTACGTAAAAAGATTTTAACTGCATCACGTTATCAGGCATCTTAAAAAAACAAAAAATTTCATATTCTGTATCAAAGGCATCATGATTTTCCTCTTAAATTATGTTCCTTCAGCCGAGTCTGATGACAAAAAATGGAAGTAAATACTTCCAAATTCCCCCAAAATGGTAGGAGGTTATCAACTAGTCTAAAAGTAAAGGGATGAATTAAGTAAGTGCCACTTACAAAACTGATAAAGTTTTAAGTGTTAATCTTCAAACTATTCAAAATGTAACCCAACAAGAAAACGGAAAAGCAAAGCAGGGACAAATTTAAATACAACCTGGAAGCAATATATTACAGGCTAAATTCTACATTGAAATGTGTACCCTAACTGTATTTTTCATCACTGATTTACTGTTTAAAAAATGTTTTAAAAGTTCAATGATTTTACCTAATATTCACATAAACTATTCCATCTTTGTTTCACTAGGTCAATTTAAAATTTGCATTGTTTTTATGTAAATTTTAAATAAATTACTAAGGAGAGCAAAGAAGTTCAAAGATTTCTTCTGATAGTAAATGCACTGGTCTACACCTTCCTAGGCACATTTGATTCCTAGACAAATTATGGAGCATACAGATGGGCTCAAGAGAAACTCCCTTCTGAACGACATCCTTTACCAGTACTATATAAAAATATCTTTATCTCCCCAAATAGAACTCATCAGTATTGTGAATAAGCATGAGTAATTGTGATTTTTTACACTGTGACTTGGAAATCAATAAAATTAAAAAGTAAACAAGTAAGTACATGGCAGAGAGTTAAATATTCAAGAAAGTTATGATCAGATAGGAAGTAAAATACAATTAGATTATTTCATGTAAACTATACATGGTCAGTGCCATATTTATCCTAGACTGTCTCTTGACTTCATGAGCATGGGAAGGAAATAGCCTACCTGGATCCTGGTAAGCCAATGTTTATTAGAGGTTTTTCTGTAGTCTTGAACCTCTAATAAACTGAAACTTTTAACAATTAAGTACTGTTTATTCCATTCTCTCCTGTAAGGGAAGTTATCTTGTAAATATTTACATCCATTTCTGTGGAAATTCATCCTAGTCTGGCTTATTTCCAGACAGTTTCCTTTAGGAAAAAAAAACTTTGAAGGGTAGGGATAATTATCAACAGGTAGCCCTCGCAGAATGCAGTAAAAATAATATTACAATCATTTCATCAAACTCAGTGGTAAAATGTAAAGGCAAACCAAATAGGCACAGCTATCAATGGAATGACTAAAGAAAATCTCTCCAGGATGATTAAATACTCCTCTAAAATATTATAAATTATAATTAGGAGAAAAAAATATGCAAATAAGAAAAAAAACCATACTTTTAAGTTCCTTAATCCTTATTAGTTACAAAACTGTGATAACCTTATTATAAAAAATTCTAAGCTATTAAACACAATTATCTTCAAATTTTTCACTAATCGAAAAATGAATTCTCAGCAATTTTCAAAATGAGTGAATTATTACTTAATAACTTTCACATTCATATAAATAACATTTCAGACTGATGCTCAGAAAAACTGAGCCAATGGATGGGAGGAGAGCCTATGACCAAATATACACAAAGAGAAGATGAGAAAATAAAAATATCTAGGTAGAAGTAAGAACATACCAAGAAGAGGGCACCTGGAATAGAAATCCAAAAAGGATGCTAGGTGTATATTCATTCTTCAAACACGTACTTTTATTTGTTGTTTTTTTTCTTTATTAAACACGTATTTTTATTTGAACTTTTTTTGAGTCACTTTCACCAACTAGAATTTTAGTTTATAGATTAAAAAAATAACTTAGGCATCAGATCCTGAGTTGCATATATGTAACAGTCCTACTTCAGAGAACACTCAGTCTTCATTTCCTCTACTCAACTGAGGATCCCCTAGTAATTATTCATGGATCCAAATGTATTTTTACAGCTTCAGATACTTATGTACTTCACTTCCTTCAATGTGAAGGGTGAGGAACTATATGCCCAGAGAAAATAAAGCTGTGACTTATCCAATGTCACAGTTACGAGAAATCAGGTTCTTAGGCTCGAGCATTCTTCACGTCATACTGTCTGCTTCAAATTACGTGCTTGGATTCTAAACACAAAAGTGAAAGACACCATGTCTGAAGAAACATAGCTGGTTTGGAAGACAGGGCAAGCTCAAAGGAAATAACTAGCAATGATGAAAATAATGGTAAAACAAAGGCACATGGTATAAAGAAAGCTTATAAATTTCAAGAGGTGAGATTAAATGGGAAGGTCATGAGGATAGGAAAACAATGAGGGTATGGCTACTCAAAGAGGCTTTCTTTTGTAAAATTATGCAAGATGTCGTCATGTCTTGAAATATAGTTGAATGTGTCCTTGGTAGGCAGCTCTAGAATATCAATCATCTCATATCATGTGTAAGTCTCAAGGCTGTTTTCAACTCCGAATCTCATGTAAGACCTCAACTGTTTTCTCCACTCTCCTAACAGAATACTATATTTTGAAAAGATTCTATGGAGAAAATGGGGGTGGGGTGGTGAGAACGACAGGTCCTGCATAGTACAGAAAAAATAAACACAGGTGGTGGGAATTAAGATTGTTTTTCCTGAAGAAATTAAAATGATTTTACAAATGGAGTACCAACAAAACAATAATGAGATAGCCGTAAGAACTGAGATTAAAGAAAGTCAAATTGGAATAAACGCCAAGAAGTGAATGCAAGAAAGAATAATATTTATTTATAAGGATATTATTCAAAGAAACATAAAAACAGAAAAGTGGTTTTTAAATTATAGGTAATGCCTTAGGAAAAAAAGAATTGGCGGATAGCGTATTAACTGTTAACTCTTAAATTTTGCTCATCATGATTCAGAAAAATTAAAGCAGAAAAACAAAATTCCAAAGATTATCTGTTATTTAACTGCTCTTCTCCAATGCTACTAGTTTTTAAAATAATCAGCTACTTTATTTACTCTTCTGTTGAACTGGGGCACCTTTTACTTGCTAGTTTATTTAATAAAATTCCCATAACTAATTTCAAACTGTGTTCTCAAATTCTTGTAGGAACCAGAAAAAATAAACAATAAAAAGCTGCCAAAATATCTAGAGGTTTAAGTTTTTTTGAGACAGAGTCTTGCTCTGTCGCCAGACGCCAGGCTGGAGTGCAGTGATGCGATCTCGGCTCACTGCAATTTCTGCCTTCTGGGTTCAAGCAATTCTCCTGCCTCAGACACCAGAGTAGCTGGGACTCCAGGTGCGTGCCACCATGCCCAGCTAATTTTCGTATTTTTTTAGTAGAGATGGGGTTTCACCATATTGGCCAGGATGGTCTTGATCTCTTGACCTCATATTCCGCCCGCCTCGGCCTCCCAAAGTGCTGAGAGGTTAAATTTTATCATTTATAAACAGCCACAGATGCCCCCCCTCAAAAAAAAAAAAAAAAACCATAAAATAGCTACAAAATGGGAAAGTGTAATCCTAGGTAATAAACCAGTAATAAAACATACAAAATTAGTCTTAACTATACACAATTACTAAAATACTACTTTCCTCTTGCCAACAGATATGAGCACTTTTATAAATACTTTTGTTCAAACTCTTTTAAGTGAAACTACAAATAGTTGTCTTTAAATCTATCTAGAATGCCATTATGCAAATCACGGAAAATTTAAAAACCATTTAAAAGAAACACTACAGAAAAACCCAGCAAAAACAGTAGCAACCAAGTCAACTGGATTATTTTTTTAAAAGCAAGTAAAAGGAGTTTCCAAAAACAACAAAAATATAAACCAAAAAATCCAGTATTAAAGAGTACCATCTAAATTTATTTATTTTATTATTTTTTTACGTAATCTCACTCTGTCACCCACACTGGAGTGGAGTGGCACAATCCTGGCTCACTGCAACCTCTGTCTCCTGGGTTCAAGCAATTCTCCCGCCTCAGCCTCCTGAGTAGCTGGGATTACAGATGTGCGCCACCACGCCAGCTAATTTTTGTATTTTTAGTAGAGAGGGGTTTCTGCCATGTTGGCCAGGCTGGTTCTAAAGCCCTGTGACCTCAGGTGATCCACCTGCCTCTGCCTCTGCCTCCCAAAATGCTAGGATTACAGGTGTGAGCCAATGCGCCTGGCCTCATCTAAATTTATAAACAAAAATATCAGAAACACGGGTCAACTGACATGTTACTAATTGTGCCTGCAATTAAAAAAAAAGGGAATTACATTTCGAAACCTTTGTTAATGTAAACTAAAAACAGCTGTCAGATATAACCCATGGAGAGGTATATAGAAAAGTAGAAAAACACTAAGGGCTAGAATTTTACTAACGCAAATTACAGTATGACGACCATATTAAAAATTAATATGCAAGAGTAACAGCAAGAACAGAAAAGCGAATAAAGAGGAGGAAATATGAACAAAAGAAGTACTCATTTAGAGAGTTCCTTGCAAAGTATACCTGTGAAGGAAATCCACGTTTTCGGCTATATTTCCTATTAGGCCTCAGTTCCCTGTCATTTTGAGGAGGTCTGTCACCTTTCCCTTTTTGACTTGTAGTAACACCAATGTCTGAAACCTGTTCCTGTGAAGCTGAATTCCCTAGTTTGTCCTCAATGCACGGCTGAATTCTCAAACTAAAACATGCCTCCTCCTTTATTAAATAGTGTAGCATATTAATGTCTTAACAAAAACTCTTGTTTAACATATAAACCAGCCTTATCAAACAATTTAAAAAGTACCAGTCCACCTTTTTAAAAAACTAAAATTGATCCACATCCCCCTCCGAGTGGCAATAAACTTAGTCTTTTAAGTTTTCTGTAGACTGGAATGCTGCTTACGGTAAATAAGCAAGTACCACATCCTACGCAATTTCCAAACTATACAACTATTAAAGCACATTTTTAACATTTATTCTGCTACATGTTATTAGTCAACTTTCATGTCATTTTATATTATGAAATAAATTGTCATCACAAGGAACCCTTTATATAAATTACAATAAATCTATACAAGTTCCCACTCCTCCATGACAGAATTCCTCTGCCCACATAGTCCCAATCCTTCCATTTCTGCTGGAATGTAAGAAAGAAATTATTCCTAGCACCACTGTAAATAGAAAAACAATTTCCCCACAGTAAAATCCATTCTTCAACAACTGTTTGAATCAGGCTCTCTAAGTATCTCCTGTTGAAAATAATGTAGAGAAAAGAAATTTAAATTGCCTCTTCAAATTAGGAAGGGCAGGGAAGAAAAAGGAGACAGATAAGAACTATGCAGGTCAACACTAATGGGAAATAAACCTTCAAACTCCTAATGCTGAATGGCATTATGAAACCTTAAAGCCAGAAGAGATACATAGTTATCCTCTCAAAACAAAAGTTTACTAGTCTGTAATAGATGAAGTTTAATAATGCATGGTTATAGGCACATCTGTTTAAAATGCCTAAAAACACCCTAGTATTGAAACATACTAAGTTTGTTTTATGTTTCCTCAAAGTTCTGTAAATTCCTATTTTTCAGAAAACCAGTACTTCAACAAATTTCATTTTGACGAGTCAGAAATTATAGCACTTTTCTCACTGTGAATAAATCACAACGTAAATGCTATCTTGTCCCATTTACTAGTCTTTATCTGAATTTTTCAGTCATCTACTTTTGCTGCAGTACTAGGATAGAGCCCTAGAAATGGAAAACTCGAATATCCATAAGGAGTCCTCAGTGGCAAATGAACTCAGCAATTTCCAAAAGACTATATGCTAAGTAATCACTAACGCTGCCTATAGTGCTTAATTCCACAATCAATTTTAACTTGCTTAATGCTTCTTAAAATTAGTGAAGCTTTGTTGAACAAAACAAACTACAAAAATGTTTCTATAAACTGAGTATCAAAAATTACCAGATTTTCAAATCAATCATTAAAATTATCTTCATGATTAATAAATAAAACTTTTAACTTCTGTGTTTAAACACAGAATAATACACACAGCATTAACAATTTGAGGGTTTCTTTCCTGGAATACACTTTTCATGAGGGAACAACTATAAAATAACATCTTGAAAACTGGGGAAAAAGTTTAAACCTTCATTTCCAGACCTCTAATTACCAAAAAGCCGCTTACCGTGGTATCTGAAGCCTCAGACTGCACATCTATGTTTAGCGATGTGCTCTCAGCTACAGAACCAGATCCCACAGCTGAATCTATAGTCCGAACATCCTCCTCCTCCTTTTCTCTAGCCTGAAATATTTTAGTGGTATAAATCATACAACTATTAAAATGGGCAATAAAATGTTATAATGGATGACACGATTTTTTGAAAATATGTTAACTCCTCTGGGGTGGCATCAGAATGTCATCAGTATATATACACTGAGATGCTACAAAAATAACTCCATACGTTATTTTAAAAGTCTAATACTTACAAGAATTTTTTTAAGAAATCTCATATATGACTTCTCTTGTTCTTTAAGGTGACCTATTAGATGAGTAAGGCGCTCAACATTAGCAGACCTCTCATTTTTCTCCACAAGATCTTCCCGCATGGAAGTAGCCTTAGTAATATAATCACGAATTTGAACAAGCCTGCTTACAATCTGCAAGGAAATATTAAAAAAAAAAAAAAAGTACACAATATATACAACTGAGCATAATTAGTTCAATAGCAACAGTTCTACAAATTTTTATTTCGAAGATAACCAAAGATAATTGAATTATTGTGAGAATTAATACTTGCAAAGAAATCTAAATCCAACTTAGATTTTAATCAAAATATAACTGGTAATACTAAGAACTCCAATCACTGTCAATTTCAAAATAAATTTTAAAATCTTAATCTACAGTATCAGAAAAATTTTACTTCTAGAACTGCATACCAAACTTTTTTATATAAGTTTTCCTAATGTTTACAGTTATAAATTAAATGTATTGCAACAAATACTTTTACAACTACTTTTCAAAAGAATTATACTGTCATTTTAAAAAATTCTTACAAAAATATATTAATCACTTTGCTTCCAATCCTCCTTTACTAAAAACTGGCAATATGGTATTTCATAAATAAACAGAAGTCTTAATTAACCTGAGTATGCCATTTCTAAAATTATTTTGGATAAATAGAAATTTACTCAAGTTTTTTTTTTTTTTTTTTTTTTTTTTTTGAGATGGAGTTTCGCTCTTGTTACCCAGGCTGGAGTGCAATGGTGCGATCTCGGCTCACTGCAACCTCCGCCTCCTGGGTTCAGGCAATTCTCCTGCCTCGGACTCCCGAGTAGTTGGGGTTACAGGCACGCGCCACCATGCCCAGCTAATTTTTTGTGTTTTTAGTAGAGACGGGGTTTCACCATGTTGACCAGGATGGTCTCGATCTCTTGACCTCGTGATCCACCTGCCTCGGCCTCCCAAAGTGCTGCGATTACAGGCTTAAGCCACCGCGCCCGGCCCAAATTTACTCAATTTTAAGTAAATCTGGTAGATTAACAAAAGGGGTCAAGGAAGTACTTTATTCTACCTAAGTAAAATTCCTGTGTGCATAAGTTAATGTAATTTTAAAAATCTTAATGTTCTTATTTTGAGGTTTATAAAAAAAATGAGCAAGAAAAAGAAACGTATATTACCTGGCTGCTCTCCATAGCAGGGTCTCCCCTCCCATCTTCTTCAGAGACCTGACAGTTTTGCAAGAGGTCATTACTTAAAGCAGAAGCAAGTAACTCTTTACACTGTGTTGATCCAATCATTTCTCTCTTTGGGGGACTTGTAGATGCATCTTTGCTCTTGTTAGTATTAATCTGCATAGGCAAAAAGTTGAAGGGCTTTCGGTTTTCACTAAGCTGACGTTTGTTGTTAGCAGCTGTTGCTCTACCTTGAGAATCACTTCCAATGCTTCTCTATATAAGAAAAAGAAATTAAATGACACAAACATTAACCTTATGACAAAATTTTGTTTTAATCACAATGTTCTTAGTTTCACCATCAGACACTGATTCAGGAGATGTACACAAACAGCTTTGTAGTAAGTTCTCAAAGAGCTTTGGCTCTATAACAGTCTTTTACTAAAATAAGAAAATCTGATTAGCATTTTCTGGACCTCAATTTGTTGAGGCAATTTGACTGATGAATATGAACAAGATTAGTCTAAATGAAGTACAGCTTGAGTATCCCTTATCCAAAATACTTAGGACAAGAAGTGTTATGAATTTTACTTTTTTTCAAATTTCAGAATACATGCATAAACATGAGATATGTCCTGGGAAAGGGACCCAAGTCTAAACACAAAATTCATTTATGTTTCATATGTACCTTATACACATTGTCTGAAGGTAATTTTACAGTTTTGTTTTTTTTTTTTTTTGAGACAGAGTCTTGCTCTGTTGCCCAGGCTGGAGTCCAGTGGCACCACCTCAGCTCACTGCTACCTCCGCCTCCTAGGTTCAAGCGATTTTTTTTCTGCCTCAGCCTCCCAAGTGGCTGGGACTACAGGCGCATGCCACCACACCTGGCTAATGTTTTTGGTATTCTTTTAGTAGAGACAAGGTTTCACCACGTTAGCCAGCATGGTCCCAATCTTCTAACCTTGGAATCTCCCCACCTGGGCCTCCCAAAGTGCTGGGATTACAGGCGTGAGCCACCACATCTGGCCAATTTTATACAATATTTTTAGTAATTTTGCTGCCTTGTGGCTCGTGCCTGTAATCCCAGCACCTTGGGAGGCTGAGGCAGGTGGATCACAAGGTCAGAAGTTCAAAATGAGCCCGGCCAAGATGGTGAAACCTCATCTCTACTAAAAACACAAAAATTAGCCAGGTGCGGTAGCAGGCGCCTATAATCCCAGCTACTCAGGAGGCTGAGGTAGGAGAATCGCTTGAACCTGAGGGGCAGAAGTTGCAGTGAGCCCAGACTGCCCCACTACACTCTAGGCTTGGCAAGAGAGCAAGACTCCGTCTTAAAAACATAATAATAATTTTGTTCATCAAAGTTTTGACTGCGTTTTTACTATAGTTTGTCACATGATCTCAGGTGTGAAATTTTCTACTCATGTTGGCACTTAAAGAGTTTTGGATTTTGGAGCATTTCAGATTTTCGTAACAAGAATGCTCAACGTGTTCTAGGACCACGAATCACATTTTGACTCATACTGCTTTCTGCTGCTTGCTTATAGCGTTTTTACAGGCTTTGAACCCAATCAATCCGTGTAAATTATTAAAGATGTGTCTACATGAAGAACTGTCCAGCTCAGCACCTGACATACAGTTAAGTGTTCAGTAATAAAGATATTAATGATCCATGATCATTACCAACATCATATCAGACTTGGATCTACCTTTCTACATTTTTGGAAATGTGTATATTTCTATAACATACAGATCTGACAGTAAAATGTCTGTCAAGAGTTTATCATCATTTCAACTTGCTTTCAGATATAAACTTTATTTTGGTGATTATAATTACAAAATAGTTTCATTCTAAACTTGAGGTAATCTACTACATCCCACACCTAGCCAATGATAAATATACTAAACCGGAACTTTCCATTACTTAATACCAATTTTATTCAGTTACTAAAATGCTAAATTTAGTTTCATAATAAAATCACTTTAGTCATATAATATACTAATCAAGTCCAGAAATATTTGTCTTCAGCAAATTTACAAATGAGACTTCATTTCCCTCTAAAGAACACAGGACCATCCCCTGTGATTAAAATTCTGTCCGTAGGCACAGAAACTTAAAACAAAATTACATAAACAGCTTAATGTTTTATTCCTAAGACAAATTATTTAATCCATTTCAAGTATTTCTCACAGTAATTAACTCGATTTTGAACAATGATTCACAAACCTGATCTAAATCACTGAAGTTAATCCGCTGTTTCAGTTTCTCTAATTCTGCCTGCTCTGGGACAGACATCTGAGTCATATATCTACTGTGTGGAAACGTATGTGGAGTCTTTGTTCTTCGCCTTCCAACTCCTGGTGATGACTCCGGAGAAATATCATTAGTGACTCTTTTATCACTTTCTACACCAAACTTTTTCTTGTTCTTTTCTGATGATCTATTTGCCTTCTTCTGTTGGCCACCCCAATCCTTTAAAAAGTAAAAGTAAAAGTTAACCTGGCCTCCATCAAACCAGGAAAATAATTTGACATAATTAAAAAGTTTTGGTCAGTATGAAAACGAAAAATTTTTTGACATAGACTTATACTCCTAGAGACAATTATTTACTTCCATTATCCCATTTTTTTCCCTCATTACATCTACCCTAATTTTATAGGCCATCCTTCAGAAAATAGACTACTTATCATAGATCACTAACAAACACAAATCCTCAAATGCTAACCCTAAAGTCAATCTGAATATTTCCAAGAGGATTTTTTTATATTATTTTCTATCTATAAACAGAATAGTGAAATAAATTAGATACCTTTATTGACCTCTTATAAAGTAAATATGTATCATAAAAAGATGTGAAATCAAATCGACCTGCGTTCTAAAAATTATTACTGCTTTCTGAGAAAACTCTCCACTGTGTGACCCTAGGCTATTTATTTCACTTCCCACAGTCTTAGTTTCCTAATTTCTAAAATAGTGTCACTTTCAAAATAGGATTAAAAATAGTACCTAGCATTTAGTAAGCAATAAATATAGCTATTATTATTTTCATAGGTAAAAATGTACATAATAATATCTAATATGGAACTATAAAAAGTACATGTAAAGTGTAAAACATTTTCATTAGTTATACTCTCATAACCTAATTCCTTCAACAAAAAGGTCTATAAATTCCCATTTTATCCAACTGGAAGACTCTTTTAGTTACTACTACAGTAAATCACTTGGGATATTTTCCTGATTTTAACAAAACCCCCTTCTTTAAAAACTGTCCTTCCACCTAATCTAGGAGTGGAGCGGACAGTCCTTCCAACCTGTTATACTACTTACCACACCCGACCCTGGCCATGGAAGACTAAAAAATGAAACACATGTCTAATCCAAATTAGGATAATCATACTTTAAAATTTCAAATTGGAACTAAGAGATAGCTAGTCAGTACATAATTGCACCCATAACTAAAAACTTTAGAACGACGGGACAGCCACAGTATACCACAGGGACCAGACGAGAGAAAACTGGTCTGTGAAAAGAAAGCAGCGTTAGACAGATATACTCAGAAGCAGAGTAAGAGTGGTGAAAATGCAATTATTGACAACTTTCTAATTCCTTTTTCTAGTCCCCTCCTAAAACCTAGCTGCATTCCTTTAACGTGGTTTCCATAAAAAACACTTGTACATCTTTATACAATAGTAAATCTGCTTTTTGGCTTAAAAGCTAACTCAATTTTATTTCTGTTTCCTGCAGCTAAAAGACCTCAATTAATATAATAAACAGCCCAGGGTCCCTTAATGTCTTGGCCAGCAAGTGTTTACAAAGAGCTTCAGTAAGTGAAATTTGGTCAGTAGGTTAAATTTGGTCAGGGGAAAACTGCATTAAATCTAACATTAATAGCCAACAACACACCATGAAGAGTAAGATACCATACCATATTGTTGAGCCTGTCATCAACACTCTCATTGCTCCAGTTTGGCAAATCCTGGTCATTCATGGCATCTTCAAAAGGACCCCCTCCTGTGGCCATACTGGCTTTAACAATTAACTCTGCAAAACAAGTAAGAAGTGAGCTTTTTAACACATAAAAACAAACTAAATTTTAAAATCATGCCATGAAATTTAGCAATACAATTTTGAAGTACTGATTTTATGAAAGAAAGAGGCACTGTCAACCACGTTACAGACATATTGATTTAGCTGCAATAGGCATGTTAGGATTAACATGAGTTAGGCAGCTGGAATGACAGAGAAGGGGAAAACCTCTAAATATACCCTATATGCACAAGTCTGCATGCCTGAAGATTACTTACTTCATTCAACAGTCCCAAAAGGTAGAACAGTAACATAGGAAAAATGTCATAAACAGAACCAGAACTTCTCTCAGGAAAGAAACTATCTCTGTTCTGACAATGGACTTGGTTGGAATGAAGGTGATATCCTGAACATGGGTATTAGTTGTGTGCCAAAGATTTAAAAAGGAGAGGATTGCTCTGCAAGAAACAAGGAAGTTTTGGTTTTAACAGGAAGGAGGGTACAGTAACAAGATGATGATAAGGTAGGCAAAGAGAAGCAGGACTAGGGTCAAAAAATCCAAAAGTACAGGGGCCAGAAGACATTTTAAGAATGGTGATGCTTACCACCCTATTTTCATTTGTATTAGTGCTTTCTCTATCTTGGTAAAGACTACCAAACTCAAATCCTCCCCATAAACATGGTGTTATTGCTTGCACATGTGAAATTCAAGAAAGGGAATGAATTTCACATCTGGGTCAAAGAGATGAGAAACAGAAGCAGCAATGATGGAAAAAGAGGTTCAAAAGCAAAGATATCCATCAGAAAACAAGATTTCTGCATAATCTTGTGGAAGACTTAGGATTTCCACTAGCTGTGGGACTGTACAGGTTGGAGAGGTGCTAGTTCAAAGAGGAGAGGTTGAGATGATTTTATCTAAAATTCAAGGGGCAGGAAAAGCCATTAAACTACAAATAAATCACTGACATTCAAAAGAGATGGTTCGGCCAAGGTCATTCAGCTAAAAATGGCAACAACAACAAAAAATCATAGGCTGGGCACGGTGATTCATGCCTGTAACACCAGCACTTGGAGGGGCCAAGGTGGTGGCAGGGCAGGGGGGAATCACTTCAGGTCAGGAGTTCAAGGCCAGCCTAGCAAACATGAAAAAACCCTATCTCAACTAAAAATACAAAATTAGCTGGGTATGGTGGCAGGCACCTGTAATCCCAGCTACTCCAGAGGCTGAGGTAGGAGAATCACTTAAACCAGGTTGCAGTGAGCCGAGACTGCGCCACTGCACTCCAGCCTGGGCGACAAGAACGAAAAACCCCATCTCAACAGTATAAAATAAAAATTAATTATAAATAAATAATAATGATACAAATCCAAGTTGCTGTAATTCTAAGATTCTAGCCCATCCCATTCACTAAGAAACAAATATCAAAAGGATTATCAGCCCTGAAAAAGAATTTGTCCCACAGATGTTTTAATGCTAGAATATCTGTTAGGATAACACATTAACAAATTATACAGCAAGTTAAATTTTATCTCAAATAAAAATGAAAAAATTCAACCAAATATTTTAAAAATCTTAAAAATCACAAATACACTGACCCTGTCTCAGTTATATTTTACTGCTTGTTTTTTTTATGAGCATACATTACGTTCATAATTCTCTAAAGAGTTGAAAAGAAGTATTCGTTAAACCAGTAGCCAACATTAAGCTTAAAATAACACATGAAGGACATCTCTAATAAAGACCAAAGAAAGAATTCCACATATCAGTTACTTAGCATTCTTTCAGAAATTCTATCAAACAGAAAAATATGAAACAGAATATTAATATTGAAAAGAGGAAAGGTGGTATTCTTAAAGAGTATGTTTTTTTTAAAAATCTACAGAACTTCAAATATCACCAATACCACTTAGAAAATATAACGGGGAAAAAAGGTGCCACTTATATTAGTGACAAATATATGAAGTATCTAGGAATAATAATTTGGCTCCATGTCAAGAAGCATTATTAAACTCTATAAAACAGTATGGGAGAAAAAATTTGAATAAATAGAAAAACTATCTTCCATCATGGGAAACTAAATATTACAACCAACCATGTTTTCTAAATGTATATAGGCTTAATGTAATTCCAATTAAAATCCCCCTGGGATTCTTTTTAGAACTTGACAAAAGGATTCTAAAATTTATCTGGTAGAATAAATAAGACAGAAGAAAAATTTACTATCCGTAAAATAAAAGCAAGAATAGCAACAGAGGTCAGGAGGCTAGAAAGCTAATCCAAGTTAGCTGTCTGTAGGGGCTCAACAATGCTGTCTATATAGTTAAATTAGTACTAGCTCAGGAAAATGTCCTTAAATACACCTAATCAGAAAAATGTAATAAGAAAGATCAGTAACAGCTAACACATTTTATTTTGCTTACGATATGCAAAGCATCATGCTAAAATATTTTATGTCCACTATGTCATTTAACCCTCACAACAATTCTATGATGTAGGAGTGAACAACTGACAGAACAATTTGCTAACAGATTTGAAAAAGATACCTTTAGAGCTTTAACAGTCTTACTTAAATGGTATTCTTCACCTCAATCACAAAAGAAAGAAGAAATGGTTTGAGTCCCTACTTTCTCAATTCTTCCAAGGATGGTACATATCCAGTGCCATCCATCCCAGACACACAGAAAAAAAGTTAATTCACAGTAAACAACAGATGCCTTGGGGCACTGAAGCTTAATTCTCTCCCAGCTGAGAAAGGCTACCTTGTATCATACTACTGAAACAGTTAATATTAAAAACCCAATTTCAAAACTCAAGATTTTAAAAAGACAAAAGAATAGAATTTTTTTTTAAAATAGAGATCTTACCAAATTTAGAACACAAAGAAAAAATAAAAGTTCAACAAATTTTACTCACATAAAAGTAAATCCTAAGTGTGCATAGAATAGTAAATGAGAAATTGAGAGAAAACAAATCTGAAAGAAATACAAAGTTAGTTAATACCTTTATTATATAAAGAATTTGTTTTAAAAAATAAAACTGGAAAACATAAGCAAAACAAGTAGTTAGCAAAAGAAAACAATACGAATATATAGAGTTTAGCTGCAAATTAAAATAAGAAACTATTATATTTGCTAACTTTCATATAAATTACATATTATCCAATCAGGGAAAATGAAATTCTCAGAGACTATATTGAGAATGTAAACTAGTACAACATATGTGGAAAGCACTTTGGCAATACTGTATCAAGAAAACTGAATTTTTAATGCAGTAATTCTACCTTTCCATATGTAATCTAAGAAAACAACCTTAAAGATGATGGAAAGAACTATAATGAAGTTGTGTATCATGCTATAATTGTGATAAACTGAAAAATAACACTGAATGTCAAATGACAAAATCAATGCTGTTAGGCAAACTGTCCTACACCTGCTGGGTAGAATACTAAGTACCCTTCAAAATATGTAATTATGAAGACTGGGCAATATAACCTGTCTTTATATCATGAAAAAGTCATATAAAAAGAAAAAAAGCAGCATGAAAAATTTATATAAAACAACAGCTAAGAAATTTTACTAAAATGCTGTCACAAAAGCAATTACTGGTTACAGGGTAGGCACTGGTGATTTTTCTTCTTTTTTTGCCTCAGATATTTTCAGTTTACATAATTTTTTATACTATAATATATTTTAAAACTTTACAAAATAATTAGGCCAGGCACGGTGGCTGACACCTGTATTCTCAGCACTTTGGGAGGCCAAGGTGGGCAGATCACGAGGTCAAGAGATAGAGACCATACTGGCCAACATGGTGAAATCCCGTCTCTACCAAAAAAATACAAAAATTAGCTGAGCATGGTGGCGCATGCCTGTAGTTCCAGCTACTTGGGAGGCTGAGGCAGGACAATCGCTTGAACCGGGAGGCAGGGGTTGCAGTGAGCCGAGAGCGTGCCACTGCACTCCAGGCAAAAATAAAAAAGAAAGAAAGAAAGAAAAAAACTGTAGACTATAATTCGTTTGAGAAAAATAGGTAATTTTTCTCGATATTTTTAAAAAGACAATTTACTAAATAGTATCATCTATTAAGTTGGTAAAATAAACAATTTCATCCAGTTATACACTTTGATTGCCATAAGGGGTACAATACTTTATAACTCAATAATGATACCAAATGTGTTTAAAAGGCACAACATTAGTATGTCTTTGAAAAGTAAAACTATTAGTATGAAGCTAAAGAAATAATTGCATATGGATCAATTATTAACATATTAACATTCATAACGTTTCCCCAAAATAGCAAATATTTCCCTTGTAAGAGATAATGCCATGTTATTTCTCTCTTCTTCATGCTAACCTCTTTAACCACCTCAATTGTCACCATTAAAAATACAGGATCTTGGCTGGGCATGGTGGTTCATGCCTGTAATCCCCGCACTTTGAGAGGCCAAGGCGGGCGGATCACGAGGTCAAGAGATCGAGACCATCTTGGCCGACATGGTGAGACCCTGTCCCTACTAAAAAATACAAAAAAATAAGCTGGGCATTGTGGTGCGTACCTGTAGTCCCAGCTACTGGGGAGGCTGAGAAAGGAGAGTCGGTTTAACCCAGGAGGCGGAGGTTGTAGTGAGCCGACTATCACATCACTGCACTCCAGCCTGGGTGACAGAGCATGACTCTGTCTGCAAAGGAAAAAAAAAACAGGATCTCAGCCTTCTAAATTTTATTCTGTAAACACACTAATATAAACTATTACTTAGAAGTACAGAAAGACGTCGAGTAACAAAAAGACTAAAGATGTATGGAATACCAATTCAAGCAATATTTCTGTGACAGAAGCAATAGAACTTGGCGACTCCAGTAGTTCCCCTTATCTGCAGTTTTGTGTTACAGGATTATAGTTACCCATAGTCAACCATGGTCAGAAAACAGGTGAGTACAGTACAATACAATATATATATATATATATTTTTTTTTTGAGACAGAGTTTCGCTGTTGTTACCCAGACTGGAGTGCAATGGCACGATCTCGGCTCACTGCAACCTCCGCCTTCTTGGTTCAAGCAATTCTCCTGCCTCAGCCTCCCAAGTAGCTGGGACTACAGGCACGCACCACCATGCCCAGCTAATATTTTTAGTAGAGACGGGGTTTCACCTTGTTGACCAGGATGGTCTCAATCTCTTGACCTCGTGATCCACCCCCCTCAGCCTCCCAAAGTGCTGGGATTATAGGCGTGAGCCACTGTGCCCGGCCTACAATACGATATTTTGAGAGACAGAGACCACATTCTTGTAACTTTTATTACAGTATATTATTATGACTGTTCTAACTTAGTTATTACTGTTAATCTTACTGTGTCTAATTTATGAATTAAACTTTATCATAGCTATGTAGATACAGGAAAAAACCATACACATACAGTTTGGTACTATCCTTAGTTTCAAATATGCACTGGGGGTCTCTGGACGGCATCCTACACAGAAAAGGGGGGAGCAGTCCATTATAATGTGGGCAGTAAGGAAGTGAAGCAGTTAAAAGATAAACCCTAGGTTGCTAGGAACTGGGTATGTGACACACAGTCAAACTGATTAGAAAAGAAACAAGTTTTCTTTGTTGAGAGAGGATGATGATGAGTTCAAGTTTTAGAAATGCTGAGTTTGAAATGCCTACACAACACCCAATTAAACTGTCTAGTTGACAGACAGTCATCTCTCTCTCAAGAGAGAAATCTGGGCTGGAGAGTCATCCATTCAAAAAGTGGGACAGAGGACTCAGGGAGAAGATAAAGAGTAAGAGAAGGCCAGATTTTAAATACACCGATATTAAATCAACAGAGGAAACGGGCACACTAATACACTAACGGACACACTAATACACTAAGGAGGTACAGAAACATAGGAGGGAAACCAGGAGAGCCTGCCAAAAAGAGAAAGTATATCAAGGAGAATGTGATAAGAAACCAGTTGCCTTGCCAGATAAGAGAAGTACTGAGAAGTATTCTCTTGGATTTAGCAACAAAGTTATTGTTGACATTAGTGAAAAATTTTAGCAGGGGTGGTGAGGGTCAATTCCATAACCGGAATGTATTATTGGAAGGGGGGAAAATAAAGGAAGTCAATTAGCTAATACCTTTAAGGAAATCAGCCTATGATGAGAAGCAAGCAGAGACTGCCATACAGAAAGTTTTATTAAGATGGAAGTATCTTGAGTATGTTTCAAATTTGTTGGTAAAGAGGGAGACATTAAAAATGCAGAAGAGAAAAGAGATAAGCAAATAGCATGTGGGTCTCAGAAAGTGGGGGCCATTGGGATTCAGAGCAAAAGACAAATGATTAGCTTTAGACAAGAAGAGGAACACCTCTTTTATTGAAAAAATAAGAAAGGATGGAGCTGGATGGAGGCTGGTTAGCAGATGTGGTGGTAGGAAACCGAAGGCTTCCTAAGTGTTGTGAGGTTGGAAGGACCGCACATTAAATGTGAGGGTGAGATGGCAGTGTCTGTGAGATCTCAGAAAAGTAGGGAATGGATTTTTTTTCCAGCAGTGCTCATAAGCCTCAATTATAAACACTCCACTGAATCCATCCAAGGTTGAAATTTTGCCAGGCAAGTTTAACAGAAAGACAGTAAGACAAGAAAGTTGAAGCTGTTAGGAAACCATTGGTAGAAGTGATTGATGACAGCGGCATGGGCAGCTGAATGGGATAAAAATAAATTCCTCCTACTTTAAACACACACTTCTACTCATACTACTCCTTACTAACAAGGTTGAAACTATTATTTTCAAGTTTCATTTAGCTATTTTTGACAGCCTTAGTGGGCTTATCTGTCTTACAAAGACACAAAAATGAAAATATACTATGGCAATTTAAGCTACTTTCAATGAGTAATATATTGTTAAGAAAATCCTGTTAGGCCGGGTGCTGTGGCTCACACCTATAATCCCAGCATTTTGGGAGGCTGAGGCAGGAGGATCACGAGGTCAGGAGTTCAAGACCAGCCTGATCAACACAGTGAACCCCATCTCTACTTAAAATACAAAAATTGGCTAGGCATGGTGGCGTTCGCCTGTAATCCCATTATTCAGGAGGGTGAGGCAGGAGAAATTCTTGAACCCAGGAGGCGGAGGTTGCAAGAGATCATACCTCTGCACTCCAGCCTGGGCGACAGAGACTCCATCTCAAAAATAAAGAAAATCCTGTTGCAGGATTCTTATTATAGAGAAGTATTACATATCCCTTAACAGAATATCACAGTATTAATTACCATGAAAATACCTATGACTACAGCTTATCCTTGAAATAAGAATATAACAGAAAGAAGAAATTCAAAGTAATCAAATAATCAGGCCAGGTGCAATGGCTCATGCCTGTGATCCCAGTACTTTGGGAGGCCGAGGTGGGCAGATCACTTGATTCGCCTGCCCAACATGGCAAAACCCCATCTCTACTAAAAATGCAGATATTAGCCATGCATGGTGGGGCACGCCTGTAATCCCAGCTGTTTACAAGGCTAAGGCAGGAGAATCCCTTGAACCCCAGAGGCGGGGGCTGCAGTGAGCTGAGATTGCACCACTGCACTCCTGCCTGGGTGACAGAGGGAGACTCTATCTAAATAAAAAAAAAAAAAAAAAAACCAAAACCCCAAAGTAATCAGTAAAGAAAAAAATTTATTTTTTCTCAAATGGCATTCCTCATAATCATCTCTAAAAATATATATCCAAGATAGTCACGTACTTTTCCTGATAGTAACTGGTACATGGTTTCACTCTCTACTTCATTCTCTGTTTTCATGACCTGAACACTTGCAATGACTTTTCTAGCACTCTGGCCTCAATTCCAACATCGTCTCATCTCTCTTCCAATACTTAACTCATAATTTGTTCAAGACCCTGAACTTCTGAAGTTCCTCTTTCTGATCTTAAGTTTTACATTCCACCTCTCTACTTTATTCCTGCTGAACCTGCTTAGCCTTCCTGAATACTACCAGCCCCTTCATCATTTCTCTCTCCCTAAATCCATCAATCCCAATTCCTTACTCAAACCCAAACCCAAGTAAGTCATTCCAAAAATGCCTTGCTAGCTAGCATCCTTCACTTCCTCACCCACTTGCCCATTCTATCAACTCAATTCTGGATAAACCTTTTTTGTCTGCTACTGTTGTCAAACTATCAAAACGTGAGGAAATAGTCAAAAAATGGCATTGACTGTGATCACTATTAAGGCATGCCACACTCTACATACACATAAATACTTTAAAAACGTAAGTTTACTCCAGGACGTAAGGCAGCACATTGTTGTGTCTCCAGTACTTTCGTCATTGCACAGCACGTTGCAGGGCATCCAAATGCATAAAAAAGAAAGTATTGCTATGTATCTGCCATTGGCTTCTTAGTGGATTCTGTGGTGTCAATCTTACAGCCTTACTAGTTTCCCCAAGTCTCAAATCCACTTTCATCCTTCCGAAACAAATGGCCAAATCTCTTTTGAAAAACCCAGGTCTTCCAATGTAAGTTAACTCAATTACCCTATATTTTTATTTCTCTTATCCGTCATCTTTCTCCAACGTACTAAAAAGAAAATTACTTTATTACTAATTTTATAATTATTTTTTATTCTACTGAGGCCTACCACATACAGCAATCACTCTAGTATTAAGAGCCCTAATACATACATTCACATGTGACCTTTCCAGAGTTCCATTTTTCTTGTCCTGTTTTGTTACAGTCTTCCAGCTAAACGAAAGGAACGCACTGCGATTCCTATTGATATACATCTACTGTTTGTATTTTCTCATGATAGTCTCATTTCACATCCTCAGAGGAGACCTATAAAAATCTGTCTGCTTCTGAAGAAAACAAGAATACATACTGATTTCTACAAAACTTTCAAAATGAACTTTCTTAAAATATTAAGAGTAGAATTAAATTCAGATTATTCTGAGTTTTTTTAAAGAGCAATTATTTCTAAAAAGTTTTTAACAAACTTCTAATTCTTACTTTTTAGTCATTTTTCCAAACTGTTCTTCTCAAACAATTTAACTTTCCCTAGTGAACTTACATTCTGCAGCACTGACTTTATTCTGCTGCTAAACAGAGAATACTTTACATCACTTGCACATGAGAACACACTATGCACTAAAACTAATGTTTAACTTTATACCAGGAAAGGGAGACTGAAGTACCAAAAATAATAAAGTTATTCTAGACAACTAAACTTCGGTCAAGATATAACACCTTAAAAATGTAGAGTTCATGAACAGCCAATTAGTAAGAATGTTGTAGAAGGGAACTTGAGATTTAATGGATTTGGAAAGAGATGCTAACCAGTTATAGGACAAATTCAAACGGGCACAAAAACATTCGGTGAAGACAAAGAAATTTCAAACAGGTACTGCATAAACCATTCTAGTATTTAATAATTAGGAATGGCATGGTCTTTCCTAACAAAGGTATAAGGGCATGCCAAAGCGGCATGCCGAAAAGCAGAGCTAACAGGGCGGTCAACCCACAATGTTGTTTACTCAGCAGAGAGGGTCCTCAGCCATGTACTGTTATTTTGATAGCAGTCTACACCATCAAGCCTTGTTTAACTCTGAATACACTAGATAACAATACAGATAATGATGTCAAATTACCTGTTTAGAAACTAGTTTTTGCAGCTCAGAAACTGCTCCTTTCCTGCTCCACACTTCAAAGCTGTTTCCTGCTTAGGATTAAAAGTATGTGTCACTTAATTACTTACACCATGAAATACAGAACAAATACTACACTTTTGGTCTAAAATGTGTTCAGAAAGATCAACAGAAGGGAAAAAATATAATTAATATTTTAAATTCAAGTTACCTCAATTCTTATGGAAAATGTGATATACATAAATGCTTAAATCCTCCAAACTTCTAAAATGTTACCAAACAGCAAAGTGACATCTACTTCGTAATAGTATAACAAAGATGGTTAGTTCAATTATCCTTTAATAGTCTATGCCAAAGTTGACTCCTCTGATTGATAGAGCTTCCTGTTAAACTATTTAACAACCTCACACATCCGATGATTTAAAAACGTTTGCTCATTTAAAAGCGAACTACTGTACTTCATAATATAAAATAACCTTGTCACTACATAAATACTAGGTTTACCTTCAGTTCAAAAACTGTATTCTACTGGCGTTCGGTGGCCCTCACCAGGAAGGTGCTAGGGAAAGAAAGGAGCAGGTGCACCCGAGGCTCTGCAACACCCACTCCGGTAACCAGAGAACACCAGCAGGCGGAGTCTGGAAAGCGGTTATGGGGCGGGGGTGGTAGGGGCGCCCAGAAAGCCCGCTTCTTCCAGCGCCCAAACACGAACCGTCGCCCGTAAGGCACACAATACAGACCTCAATCTGGTCAAAAAATAAAAATAATTTTAAAAATTAGACCAGGCGAGTTCCTGAGGAGTGGGCGGCAGGATGCAAAGTTGCACGCCCAGCTTCCCTGGCGGGGCCTAATCCCCAAACGCCAGTTTCTGCAAAGCAAGCAACGTCTCCCCAACCCCACTTGGCATTTAGTCTTTCCCGCTTCTAGGCCCAATTCTAACCAGATCTGCAGGAAGGGAGGAAGAACGGGCGAAAGAGAGGAATGGGGGAGTTACTCCATTAATACTCTCAGGAACGCCTCCCCGGCCCCTAGGCTCCCAGAGCACCAGAGACGGCGAAATTCCTGCAGCTCAAAGCCCAACAGCAACTCTTCAGAGTCGCGTCGCTCCTCGAGCCCTTCTGCACCCCAAACTCTAGACACCGAGAACCCCACAGAATAAAATGTGAGGAAACGTGGGGATGGGGACTATGGCCACCAAGGCCTGTTTCTCTGAGAACTCGACCCCGTGCCCCTGGCACCCAAACCAGAGCCCCCTCTCCGCTTCCTCCGCCCTCAAGGGGCATTCCCGGAGTCACCGGGACGCAGGGCGACCTCCCCGGCAGGGCCAGCAGGAGGAACGAGGAGGGAAGAAGGGGGTCCTGCAGTCGCCAACGCGTCTTGAGGTGCTCACCGGGGATCCCGGCGGTCGGTCCTGGGGAGGGGGTGGACTCTCCGCCTCGGGGACTGGAAACCCGCGGCAAGAAGACCTGGGAGCCTAACGAGGAGGCGTGGGCCCGCGGCCAGACCTAACAGGGTCAAGTGTCCCAGAGCCGTTACTCTCCCGCCCCTGGGGCGCGCCGCCCTCGGTTGCCAGGGGCTGGGGACGCGCAGGCATTACCTGTACACGAAGCAGCCTCTCCCCTCAAGGGCAGAGCGGCGGTCAGCTCCCACGACCCGCCAGCGGCAGCGGTCAGCCCTCGGAGACCGTACCAGGGAGGCCCACACTTTCCCTGGCTGCCTCGGGCCCAATGGCCGCCTTTTCGACCTGAGCTACCCGGCGCCAACCGCCGCAGCCACCGCCATCTTAGGATCTCATTGTGCTGGGAGGAGAGGGGCGGGGGAACTGCAGAGGGGGCGACGCGCGGCGGGACGTGCGTCGTCTCCTCGGCAACGGCCGCGCGGGGGTGAGAACTCGCCGGGGCGGGAGCGGCAGTGCGATCTACGCGCTAGAATGCAGACATGTGACCCGCCGGAGTCCGTGTGGTGGCTTCAGGCTCCTTAAACCGAAAACGGATTACACGAACGAAACTCCCAGCCCAGGGACTACATATCCCAGAATGCCAACTCGACCTCGCGTTCTAAACGCCCACCCGTCACAGGTGGATGGACTACAAATCCCATTATGCTTTGCGCTTCCAGCGCTGATCGCGAAATGTGAGACCTTAGGCCTTTGCGGAAGTGGATTGATTCCCCTCTCTGCCCGTGGAGAAAGAGCGGAGGCGGGATGCGATTTTCAGGTGGGAGTGTCAGCTCCGGCGCGTGCCGGAAAAAGGAGCCAAGACCAGGATCGCTCTCTGCTCCTTCCCCACCCACATCCTGGTCACGAAGAGATGGGAACAAAAGGACCCTTATAATCTAGTCCAACTCCCTAATTTTACGTGTGAGGGGGTTGATCCACGGAAATTAAACAGTCTGCCAAACGTCATGTGTAGCTGCTGAGCAGGAGAATCATAAATGTTGATATTTAATGCCACTTTTGGTTAACGTCCTGTTCCTTAAAAGAACCAGATGATATTAATCCAAACTTGATTTCAGTAAATTTTCTCTGAATTCTTTTTATTTATACTCTTCTGTTAGTAGCTCTATTAAGATGAGTACATTGGCAGGTTTCCCCTTTAAAAAAAACAAGTGACAAGGCCTTCAATGTGACTGACTGGAGTGTTAAAACACCTGTCAGTTTCAGTTGTGTGCCAGGGCATTCTAGTTTTACACAGTTTATAATTATGGGATAACTTTTTAAGCAAAATAAAAGTAAAAAGAGGTGAAGAATCGCTTTCTGGGTTTTAACAACAAAAATTGTTCTAATTATCAACAAAAATCGTTCCCGAAAAACTAGATCTGCATCTCACAACACAATTCAAATAAAGCTCTTCCAACCCACTGCAGTTTGCCACCCTAGCTTCAGTCGTGACCGCAATGATCGTTTGCATTCATACTCGTTTGTCACTCTTTGCTCATATTGTGTGTGTCTATCGCTAAGTACTGAGATAGCAAAAATATACTCCCTGCCCTTGAAGAGCTTATGTTTTAGTGAAGGATGGGGAAGTGGAGTGTGATAAGTGCTGTGGGAGCTCAGAACACAGAGCAGCTAACCACTCAGGTGTTTACCTGTGAGCCAAAATGCCCTTTCCTAATTCTACCACTCTAACATCTTGGACGAGTTACTTGCCTTTCTGAGCCTTAATTGCCCCACCTAGGAAATGAGGGGGAGGGAATAATACTGCCTAACTTGAAGGAATTTTTTAAAAAATGTTGTTAGAGTTTATTTTATGCCAGGCACAGTGTAAAGCACTTCAGCTGTTGTGATTTTCGTAATCTTCACAGCTACCGTAAAGAGGCTGGTTCTGCAGCTGATCCATTTCAGCAATGAAAGATTGTATAAATCAAACTTCTAGCAGCTACAAGTGGTAGAGACTAGATTTCAACTGAGGTCTACCTGCTTCCTTGAAGGTTTTTTTTTTCTTAATTAAATAAAATGCATATAAAAAACACTAGTATATGTTAAGGCCCAAAATATTAGTTATCATTATTTTGTTTTATACATACATATTATTAGTAAACATATGTAGAAGCTGTTACCATTAAAACAATTCTAATAAATTCAAAAGCATGAAATTATAGTACCTATTGGTCATTATGTTGTCTGAATTTATGAAGTCCCAGAAGGTCAATACTATTGTTTGTTAGGAGGTAGGAGGAATTTGAGAAATATTTACATTGAAAAGCGGTTCTCAAACTCAAATATGAGCATTACTGATCTTTGTAGGGGAAGAAGGAAAGAAAAAAACTAAAAGCTATCAAATTATCCCTGGCTTTCAGAAATTTAACATCTAATTTTGGAAACAAGCTTTATAAAAATGAATCAATTTAGTATTAGTAATGTGTCACTATGGCAGACACATGGTGTAGACACTGATTGCTTTAGGTAATTTCGATGTTAAAAATAGGGGTGTTTTGTCTCAGAGACAATGACAGCTCCAGGATTTACAGGTAGGATGAAATTAGGCGCAGCAATCCGTGTAAATGTAGATAAGAAACAGAAGAATGGCCTCTAAGAGATAAACGCAGAAACCACATTTCAGTTTTCCACATTCAGGAGAATAACCTAATGCATGTGTTAAGTACGCAGGGGGTGGCCAGGCGTGGTGGCTCAAGCCTGTAATCAGATCACAAGGCAGGCAGATCACGAGGTCAGGAATTCAAGACCAGCCTGACCAACATGGTGAAACCCCATCTCCACTAAAAATATCAAATTTAGCCAGGTGTGGTGGTGCACACCTGTAATCCCAGCTGCTCCGGAGGCTGAGGCAGGAGAATCACTTGGAACCAAGAGGTGGAGTTTGCAGTGAGCCAAGATTGCGCTACTGCACTCCATCCTAGCGGACAGAGTAAGTCTCCAACTCAAACAATAATAATAATTAATAAATTAAAAAATAAATATGCAGGGATGAAAGTTCCAAATAGCAGAATGGTGTTCAAGGAAGCGGAATACAGCAAGGAACACAGACCAGACATCCACAATAAGCAATTGGCAGCAAGCAGACTGGCTGGAGTAAAGAATTTGGATGGGGTAAGCGATGGGGAGGTAAGAGAAGGCAAGGTTTATTACCAGGTTGAGGCCACACTGTAGAAAGTCTTGACTGCTTATCTAACGAGTTTGGCTTTATTCTTCAGGTAGTGGGAAATCATTTGAGACTTTGGAAGAGGTCAGTGCTATATTAAAATGATTATTTTAAGACTTCAGGCCAGTAGCAATGTTTTGTACAGACTAGGAAGAGACGACAAGGAGAACAGGTGCTAACCTGTCCTGAAAAAGGCCTAGCCTAAGGTAGCAGCAGAATGAATAAAGGGATTTAATTTTTTATTAACATAAACTAAATCAGTTGTTGTGATGTGAAAATACTATTCTGTTTCTTGGTATTTGGTAGGAGCACTAACCAGGTGGTACTTATAAGATAATATGGCAGGGGCATGGTGTCTCATGCCGTAATCCCAGGCCTTTAGGATGGCCAAGGCGGGTGGATCATGAGGTCAAGAGTTCGAGACCAGCCTGACCAACACGGTGAAACCCTGTCTCTACTAAAAATACAACAATTAGCCGGGAGTGGTGGCGAGGGCCTATAATCCCAGCTACTCAGGAAGCTTAGGCAGGAGAATTGCTTGAACGCAGGAGGCGTAGGTTGCAGTGAGCTCGCGTCGTGCCATTCATTGTATTCCAGCCTGGGCAACAGAGCAATTCTAGTTGGAGATTTAAACTATCCTCTCTCAGTAATCATCAGAATACATGAATGTAGTAAGATCAGTATGAGTATAGAAACTTTGAATAGTACTACCAGCCACCTTAACCTAGTTGAGATATACAGAATTCTCCACCCAAAATGACAGGAAATACTTTACTTTCTATTCATGAAATATTCACCCCAAATAAAAAATATGCTAGACCATAAAACAAATCTTATTCCATAACAAAAGGATTAAAATCGTATCTTCTCTTACCACAATGGAATCTAATCAATAGAAGAATGTGTTTTATTTTGGAAACTAGTGTATTCTACTATATTCTGCCCAGAAATTTGGAGATATCAGGAAGAAGGACATACAAACCCGAATAAATATGAAATAAAGTTTATTACTCATATAGTAAATGGCAAAAGTATTCTCCTGGAAAAGGGCTTCGGTTCCTTCTGAGTAAAATAACCTTGAGGCGGGTAGATGACCCTAGCTTTTATTGGATTAAGAGGTGAAACCAGGCAGTTATTGCATGGTTTGAACTCCTCTGCCAATGCCAAGCAAGGGAGCTACTGAGTTTTTTTTTTAAATCAGTTTTCCCAGAAGTGGGGCAAAAGGGAAAGAAGGAGGTGTAGAGCTTCAAAGAGGACAGTGATCAAACATCAAAACAGGAATCAGTCTTTATTACAGAAAGTTATCTGGATAATTCTTTTTTTTTTTTTTTTTTTTGAGACGGAGTTTCGCTCTTGTTACCCAGGCTGGAGTGCAATGGCGCAATCTCGGCTCACCACAACCCCCGCCTCCTGGGTCCAGGCAATTCTCCTGCCTCAGCCTCCTGAGTAGCTGGGATTACAGGCACGCACCACTGTGCCCAGCTAATTTTTTGTATTTTTAGCAGAGACAGGGTTTCACCATGTTGACCAAGATGGTCTCGATCTCTTGACCTCGTGCTCTACCCGCCTCGGCCTCCCAAAGTGCTGGGATTACAGGTGGATAATTCTTACATATTTAGAAACTGAATAATATGATAGTTCAATATGAACCTTCTAAAAGGTGTGTAATATAACTAATGTGTTACAATTTACTTGAGAAGATAGAGGATGAGGTGAAGTGCTCCAAGTGAGTTAAGCCTTAATCTAACACAAATACAAATCATGCTAAAGTCTAAAATCAACAAATCATGATACATAAAAGATAATTATAATTTGTATTATAACACTATATACATATGAAACCATATACACACACATATATATACTTACATACATATGCATATAACTTAGAAATGTAGAGATTGCCACCAGAAGATATAGCTGGCAGGGTTATAAGTGATTTCAGCGGCCAAATGGGACTGAGCACTTCAGGATTTCCACTTTAATAGAGCTATATTAAGAAAAAAACTATGGCAAATTAAAAGAAAAACAAAAAACCAAACCAAATAAGAAGCAAACTTTCATTCTTTGCTCTGCCCTTCACTGTGGAACCTTAAGAGATTCACTTTAACTCTGAGTCAAAGGTTTTGATCTTAGTA